ACTGCAATTGTTTTTAGTCAGTATGATTTTTTAATTAAATAGGTCATAGATGATATTTATATGTATTACAACTTCCATAATAATTATATAAAACTTATTACGGCTTTACGTAAAATAATTAGTATCGTAATTTAATGAGATATTTACATATGTTTTGATAAATAGTCGGTAAGCCAATCGTTGGATAATAATTTTACCCAAGAAGTTTGGAAAATAACAGTTGATAGTAGTATGTTAATCAAACATCAATTTTATTATATAGCAGTGAAATTTTAGTCTTAATATTAAATATTTGAAATTTCTGACCGCTATATACATGTATAACAAAAAATTCGGATTCTGTTGGTTATTTGGTTGGTTGACGTAGGCGGTGCAAAACGCACAAATGTACCATTTTTCTATCACAACTTGTGACCTGGACCCTTTTAGAAATCTGTCTAGATTCCCGACAGATGTTTCGAGACAAAAGTAATGCTATTTCAATTGTTACTTAGTATAATATTGTTGGTAGTAAATTATATTTATTACTATAGTATAGTTACTAGTAATAATCACTTAAGAGAAGGTTTACGATAACAATTAATTAGCTTGTAACACTAAATAATAAGTTACTTTCAATTTCCCATTTTTTAATTTTTTGATTAATTATTATTGAATTTCAAAATCGTTTTACATGATATTTTTTTTTATTTTGAATAAAATTTAAAATGCATAATTAAAATATATACACATACAACTATTATATATGATTAGTAAAATAAAGTTTAGCAGAAAGGAGTTTTGACAAAGATATCGGTTTCCATTTTGAGAATCACAAAGATATTAAAAATTATTAAAAAGAAAAAAGAAAATGTACTTATAAATGAAAAAAAAATTATTATTTACATTATATTTAAAATGCAAGCATGCTTCTTATATTTTATTGGAAATAGAGGAAATACTAAAATTATAAAAGAAAAAAAGGAGAGTTTCATAACTATTTTATGTTCTATCCATTACATAATTATTAACTAATATACATGTACAATATATATAAAGAGAATAATAAAAGAGATAGCATTCAAAATTACGACTAATATTTATACGACTAATGCAATAGTTAATATATATATAGGAAGTATTTAAAAAAGTTTTATATATGAAATTCTATTTATATAACCATAGAGAGTGATCATGCCAAATATCTATTTAAGTATATTGATTTATAGTTCATAAAAATGTTTCTTATTACATTTCTTTTGTATACATTACAATGAATTTGGAGAAGTTGTTGTTTTTCATTTTTTTTTTAAATAAATTTCAATGTTAATAATATGAAAAATTATGTGTAGTATTATACTTTATGTATATATTAAACGTTTACCATTTAATTCTACTAAAATATACTATAGTATAGTTGAAATATAATTATGTATATGAGTACCTGTATATATAATGTACTATATATATATAAAAATATTTATATAGTGAAAATATATTGTATCTTATACTACATATATGGAAACGTTTTCAATTTACATGTTCAATATATTTCAATGATGAGATTAGAATAAAATGTATTTATATATAATATAAATAAAAAAAAATATAAAAAAAAAATTAATACTGTAAAAATTCTAAATTTCTATTATTTTCTAATATTTAAATCTAAAGTTTTGCAAAGATTATTTTATCCGTTTTTTATTAAATTGAAAAAAAGGACAAAAATTTATCTAATTTTGCAAAACATCCTAAATAAAGATAAAGGCCAATGCATCATAAATTAAATTTTTGCCTCTGTATGCTTTAATTTCCATTTTTTTTATTATAATATTTTTAAATTATTAAAAAAGAAAGCATAAAAGTCAAAAATTTTTTTCTTTGCAATTAGAAATTAAATTATTTTTGGAATGTTTCTTTTGCAATAAGAAATTTCTTCGTTTTGTACTTGCATGATCATTGTTATATAAGTAATTAACGTGAATTATCGAAGTTTTTTGAAAAGTTTTAAAGTGTAAGCTTTATTAGTCGTATTTTAATTTATTACACTGGTTTTTTTTTAATAACGTAGATGATGGGCAATATTTAAAATAAATTTTCGTAGATTTTTTTATTTACGTAAGTAATTGCTTGCTATTTTTATTTTTTTAAAGTAGCTATACATTAAAAATTTTTCAAGAATCCAAAAAATCAATTATTTTATCAAAGTAGTATATATGTATATACTATATTTATATAAGGTGCTTTAAAATCAATACTTAACAATGAAATCAGAAATATGTTTTTTTTATATAATTTTCAAATAAAATAAGATGGGTCAGAAGTAATTTTATTATGTTTTCAGGATGTTTCATAAGAAAGTTGAGACTTAAAACCAAATTTTATATTGGATAGATGGTCACAATGTAGAGTGACAGCGATTTCCAAAAGAATAACAAACGAAGTCAGAGAAAAAATAAAAGACAATTATAAATACCGGATAAATAAAAAATTTGAGCAAATTTAACAAGTGGAATATGAAGAATATAAATTTTTATAACAAATTAGCAATTTCACATGTAGACAGCATGGATTTTAGCGCATGTTTACAAAACAAGGAAACCTAATTAGAGGACGCTCAAGTATCAAACAAACTGATGTGACTTGTTTCTCGCGATTGGATCATTCAAAATTTAGATATTTTCGGTATACCGGGTTGAATTAAAACAACTTCATTTGTCAAAAATTGCCGTTAATGGTAGACAACACAAACTACAGACAATGGAATTGAAAGAGAAAACGAAATATTAACAAATTGTAATTTAAATTATTGCTTAGCATTACATAATACAGAATATTGTATACGAGTATTATAGTTATGTTACTATGCTTAAAATAAGTTATAAGAATGTAGTTTCTTTAAATATTTTATCTGTCATATGAATACATTATTAGATTTTGTATTTTCTTAAAAAGTAAATTGCTAATAAATTTGTTAAAAATTTAAAAGTAAAAAAATTGTTAAATTGTCTTATATTAAATAGTTTATGCAGCTTTAAAAACCACTCTTTCTGTATATCAACTTTTCGAGGAGCACAACTATTTTTTCAAAAATTATATTTCAAATTTCCTTTGATAATATTTTCCTGTGAATAAATATACATTTAAATATATATTTAATTTTATATGATTTATAAAATTATCATTAATATTATAAATTAATTAAATAATTCTATATATTATTAAGAAATTATATTAGGGCTTATTATTAAGTCCTACATGTGCTTAAGAACATATATTATAATTCTGTTGGTTGAAATTTATTGTAAGAAAACAAAAGCAGACAACATACTTATATTAACTAAGTTTTAATTCAACATATATTTTTGTTTAACAATTATTAGTGCGTAATTGTGTTTTTAAATTTTAATATTGCAATTAACAATATTTTGTGCATTATAAGTACATTGTAATATTAATATTTGTTTAATATAATTGATTGATTTCTATCTTGTGTATTTGTAAAATGAGATACAACTAATTGAATTAGACTACAGACTTTGATTAATTGCAATTGTCACAAAATTTATTTATTCGAAAAACGTTTCAAACTTAAGTATATACTATTAATTAGTTGAAAATGCTGTTTTGTTCTATTTTGCGTTCGAAAAGGAAATTATTGTAACAAAAGTATTAAAGGACCCGTCGCAAAGTTCAGTTTCCGTTGTCTATCATAGATTGTGGTTTATATTTTTGTACAAATATTGTATTTATATAGTATTTTTACCTATATAATAACATATTTCATATAGCAACAGTAATATAATTATAATATAGTAGTTTTGTTTTGTTTTTAACAAAGCAATTTTCGTTTGAAACAAAAGCCAAATAAATTATTAACAGAAGCGTGATAAAAAGCAGAGTATTTTTTTTTTGTTTTGCTAAGTATTGTTTTAAATAATATTTTAATGTTATTTTAAAGCACCTTTGATATTTTAGCATAAATGTATATATACTTTATTTTGATAAATTAATAATTTTAATTTTTTTTTACCAAAAAGTTGTGTTTAAGTAGCTTTAAGTTATTGTTATATTTATGATTTTAATTTTTAAAAGAAAATAAAAAATAATAATACCTCTTGAAAATATTAAAACCATAAGGTTTCGTTTTTTTTTGGAAATTTTCAAAGATAAATTTTAAAATTAAAATTGAAAGCTTTTTAATTTTTTTTTTAATATCTATAAGTTAAATGAATCTAAAGCTTGAAAAACATTTTTTTTTTTGATTTGTTATAAGCATTGTTTTCATTAAAACGAATAACATTTTTTTTCAAGTAAATAAATAAAATTAACAATTTAATTAAAAAATTAATGAAAGCATTTAATAAACATATAAAAATGTAATTAACCATTTTAAATATAACAGGAAGATCAATTAGAGATCCCAGCGTTAATATAGCATATAAAGATCTCAACAAAATTAACAGATAAAAACTTGAACTTAATTTTGTGTGTTATTTTTTTTTTGTAATCTTTTTTTTTTTTTAAGAAAATGTTAGCAAATTGCAGCTTTTAAACTATAAAATAAACGATATTAAATTGAATATTTCCTTTTAATATATTTATAAAAGGAAATGAAAGTAATTTCATTTGGTTTATTTAAGCAATAAAAATAAAAATTAAAAATAAATTTTTATTATTTTAGAACTATAAAGCTTTCAAAATGTACACATATATGTATATATATATATATGAAAGTATATATATAAGAAGCTTAAAGCTTTTGTACTTAATTTTTTTTTGTTTGATTTGCTTTTAAAATTGATAAATTTCATAATTAAAATTGTAAAATATTTATTTAATTTTTTTTTTTGAAAATTAAATAAGAGAAAGGAACAAAAAAAAAATATTTTAATTATTTAATTTACTTTAGGTTTTGTCATTTTGAAAGTATAAAACAACATTTAACACACACACATATAATATTAAAGTTATGAAAACAAAAACTAATTTTTTTTTCTGTTTTTTTTTAGTATTTTTACCCTAGGTCTAGGCGTCGCTTTTAATGGTTTCTTGGAGCCCATCTTTTTCATAGCATTGTAGTACTTTTTCTGATCGTCAGTCATAAACATTTCCAATGATCCGCCGGCCTTTTTCTTTTGCTCATTAAAATTATCGATGATGACACCAATGAATAGATTTAATGTGAAAAATGATCCAAATATAATGAAGAATACAAAATATAAATACATGTAGATATTTATTTCGCGTATCGGTTGTTTGTCCACCTGTTTTTTTCGATACGTATACAATTATTTTTTTTTTGTTTTGTTTTTTGATTTTTGTTTTTTTTTTTCATCATAATTATTAAATAAGGTATACGAAATTATTTGAAGTTTTGTATCGAAAAAATAAAATTATTTTATTTATATTTTTTATATTATTATATTTTCATATAAATTATTATTTTATAAAATAATATTAATATTAAAATTATTTTTAATATATTTAAACAAATTTTGCGAATTGATTTTTTTAGGAAAACCCGATGATTAAATTTTATGATGAACAAATTGAAAGTGAAATTGATTATTTTTAAAACGAATTTTTTTTCATTAATATTATGATAAATGAAATTTTGAAATATTACAATTTTGAAATTTTCAAATTATTAGTGTGTAAATGAAATGATTAAAAGAAAAAAAAAACAGTAAGAAAAATAATATGAAATTGAAAAAAAAATAAAGGAAACAAAATGTAATGAAAATTTTGTAAAAAAAAATGATTATGAATCGGATAATTTGAAATAATGCAAAAATGAGAATAATGATGGATTTGAAATATTGAAAATGTTTTAAAAAATTCAAGGATTTAGTAAGGATTGTGCAATTTGTTTGTTTGGTTTTGAAAATTGTTTGTTTTTTTTTTTTATTTAAATATATATTTAAATATTAATTTTAAATATTATATTAATGTGATAATAATGTTGGTTTAAAATAAAAAGAAAAAAGAAAAAAATGAAAAGGAGAATATTAATATAATTTGTGAATTTTTTCTTATTTTTTTTTTGTTCAAATTTTGTTGGAAACAAAAAAAACTTTATTTTTTTTTATTAAAAACAAATTCTTTATCTAAATTTTTATACTCTGAAAGTATCAATTTTTAATAAAACGATCGATAAATTTGATAACCATATGAAAAAAAAAATAATAATTGAAATTATTAATAAAGTTTTCATTGTTCACTCTTGTCACTTATAATATTGATTGAAGAAATTGTGTAAAAATTGTTTAATGATAAATTAAACATTTTTAACCAAAAACTTTTTAATTATTTAATGTAAATATTTCATTATATTTAGATTAAGGATTAACATTTATAAACAGAACAAAATGAAAAAGAATATAGGAATTTTTGAATTTAATTTTTATTTTCTCTTTTTCACATAATTTTCTTCAGTCAAAGTCAATTTTTTTTTCTGTTTACTTTTTTTTTTTTTAAATAAAACTTTAAATTAAAAAAAAAAATGAATCTAAAAAAGTGTCTTCGAAAATATTTTCATTTTAAGTTAAAATGAAATTAAAAAAAAAATATTATATTATTCCTTAAGTATTAGTAATAAAAAATTATTAAAAACAAAAAATCCAGTTGAAAATTTTTCGTTTTTAAGTAATTTTTTCTTAATAATAACATTAAATTTTATCATACTTCTCTTGAATCGATGGCATCGTTCATGATTTGTATCCAACCTTTAAATGTCGCCACTTGAAATAAACATAGATAGGCATTGCCAACATGATCAAAATTCATTGGTGAATTCGACCATGTATAATTTTCTATTTCGCATGCATTTTTATTGGGTATAATCTCATGACTTATTGTACTACCATTTCCATCGACACACTATGTTTTTTTTTTTTTTTTTTTTTAATAATATATGTTTAATAATAATATATTATTTATGTATTTATATATCCATATATGCAAATATTTATTTATTATGTATATATATATCATATATGTATATAAAATACAAATGTTTTATTTGAATATAATAATATATATATTTTTTTTTTTGTGTGTGTTTATTTTTAATTTGTGTGTTTTGATTATGATGTTATATAACATTATATATAATATAATGGCCGATTGATTTGATTTTGAAAATTTGAAATAAAAAAAGAAAGAATTTGAATAATATAAAAGTTAGAAACTATTTTTTCCATTTTAAATATTTTTTAATATTAAAAAAAAAAAAGAAAAAAGAATTTTTGTTAAAGAAATAAAAATATAAGCATTGAAAAATTTAAAAAATTTAAATAAAATTTAAAAAAGCGTCTTTTTTTTTTTTAAATTTAAAAGGAATAAATAAATGAATATAAAATATGTAAAATGAAATAAAAATATTATTGTTCAACTACAAATAGTAGCGTTTTTGAAATGAAAAATCATATGTAAAATAAATATTAAACAAAAACATATAGGAAATATTTATTTTATTTTGGTTAGTTATTTTGAAAGGTATATATACATGTGTTATATATTATACTATATATAAAATAAATAATGTATGTATGTTACTTATACAATATTAGTTGTATATACTTGTGTAAATGTTAACTAACCAAAATTTCAAACTCACTGATACATTATATTTTTGTTTTTTCTTTTTTGTTTAACAAAGCACTTTCGTTTTAATTTCTTACAGTAAACATGTAAGTTTTGTTTTAATATTTACCTTAAAATATTTTCCAGCAAAAAGCTGTACACCCATAATGGCAAAAATAAGCCAAAATATTAGACACACCAATAGCACATTGAAGATGGACGGTATAGCTTGAACCAGCGCATTAACGACGACCTATAAAATTTTGAATTTTGTTTTTTTGTTTTTTTTTAGTTAAATAATCATTATCAAATTTGTTTTAATGTCAATTAATAATATGTTTGTTTTTGTTTTGTATATATATATAATTTGGATGGTTTTTTTTTTTAAATTTGGATTTAAGAGTTTGGTATTTTTTTTTTTAAGTTTTTTTTTTTTTTTTGGTTTATTTTTGGACGTGGATATAAAATAAGGGTGTAAATTGTATTTGTATATGAAAATATATATTTTTTTTTTAATTACACTATGTTCACATTACAATGTTAAGTATTATGAAATTGAAATAAAATAAAATGATGAAAATGTTTTAAGCAATGAAAAATTACAAATTATATAAATAATATGTAATTATGCATTAATAGTTTTATTATATATAAATATATAATAATAAATATATAAATATTCATAATACTTAGCAGTGTAATGTAAGCATAGTTTAATGTTTTTAATTTTAATATTAATGTAAAAATATATTGTATAAAATATAAAAATTTATTAAATATAAATGTAAATATATTTAGTGAATAAAAATATTGTGATGCATTATAAAAATGAGTGTTGACATTATTTGTTAAAAAAAAACAAGTTTTTGATTAGATATTATTACATATCATTTAAAATAAAAAAACAAAATCATTAATTTTTGAAAATATTGAGAAGTATAAAATTATTTAAAAAACAAAAACTATATAGATATTAAGTTTATAAATCTCATTTTCACTTCTAAATAACTTACCTTAGTATAATTTTTAATAAATTTATAAATTTATTTTTTTATAAATATAAATACATATATTATATTTAAACAATTTGTTAACCTTATTTTTATATTCTGAAGATTAAATCTTATATTAAACAGTTTTTTATTACATTAAAAATTTATTTGGTTATCATTTAATTGCTGCTTTAATTTGGTAGATTAGTTTAAAAAATCTTACAAATTACAGGACATTAATTAGAATTGTTGTAAACAATATATGTTACGATATTTTGCCTATGTATGTACTTATATATATTTGAAAAACTAAAATCCTTATTATATAATTATTTATTTTTTTTGTTAAAATTATTTATAAATTATTTAATAATTTTGTAAAAATTCACATTTTACTCTTAATTAAATTTTATAAATATTTAAACACTCAAAAATATCTATATATATGGTGTGCATTAAAATATATAGGATTAACAAAAAAAAAAAAAATAATATGAAGTGGACAATTACTTCATATCCATAATATACATAAAATATTTTTATGCATTTATTAAAAAATATTTTTTATTTTCGAATGAGGAATCCTATTGAAAAGGGAATAGCTATAAATATTATTATTTTATTCCATGAACTATATAGATATCTCTTTATTGATATCCCTATTTGTATAATATAACTTAGAAAATATATTGAAATAAAGATTATTATTCGTTGATTAGTTATTATTAGTTGATTGTATAAATAATTTTTCATCAAATTCATCTAAACTTTATAATTGTATACCTCAATTTATTTATTTGATTAAATTTTTTTTCATTTTATATGTTTATTAAAATAATCAAATAATACATTTGAGGAATACAAAATAACTTTTAGAGTTTTTGTGAATGCGAAATTGTTTCGAGCACCTTGACGTATGTATATAATATAATTTTAAAAATTTATTTATAACACGATGTTTGTTTGTTAATTGTATAGGTTGATAACTACATTTTAATATACAATTAAATTGATTTTGTGAATTTTTAACCAACGTTTTTAGAGAACGTAAACGTCTTCTACAGTTTTTGATATTTTAAAATGTAACAAAGAATGGGTGTTAACGAATAGCTAATAATTTTTTTATTTCAATCTAATTTTAAGATAAAATATACGCGAATTATATTTTATTAATGTAAATATAATTAAAAATGAGATTAACTGATTCAACACAATTATAATATTAATTAAATTTTCTAAAAATGTTTAGCTTATTTATAATAGATTTTTGAATCAATATACAATACAGTAATAATATGTTCTAGGAGAATGTTATACAATATTTTTACTCAGTCTTAGCGCTCAGTTTTAAAATGAGTTATTAATATTTTCGGTACTATATAAATCAAACTCTATTTATATAATAAAGTTGAAAGTTTGAAATAAAAAAAAAATTGTTAACGTATCTAAGTTATAAAACTCCACAGTGAAAATATATTAGTGTTCATTTTATATTAAAAAAAAAACTTTATTAGTTCCATTCCCTTTAAAAACATGCGAATTTTGCTTTTTTTTTTCTAATACTAATAAAAAACCATTGTTCAAATGATCAACACTTTATCAAAATACGAAATTGAAATTATATTTATCTAAAAAAAATATCGTCTATAAAGTGTTCAATTCAATATAATAATTATTTTAGTTTGAAAATTTTTAATTAATTATTCTTAAATAAAGTCTCATATATATTTAAGTAAATTTTTAAATTAAATTTTAATTAATAATGTATCAAAACCACCTACCACTTCATAACAATATTGTAATAATCTACTATATTTGTGCAATCAGTGAAATCAAATAAACTTTTATAAAATATCTCATAAATGATTTTTGTTTAATAATGTTCCTTTTTTTTAAATGAAGAAAGTTTTATATTTTTTTATATAGAGATCTAAACAAATTGATTTTTATTTAAATGTTATGCAAGAAATGTTAAGAAAAATTTCAACTTTATGAACACAAAGTATGGCTATTTAAATTTTTTTTTGGTTAAAATCTTTACGTTTAGTTTTTAAATAATTAAGTATATAGATATTTATTAAATTAAATATTAATAATTGCTTATATGAAAAAGTTTATGAAGTGAACTTATATTATAGAACAAAAAAAAAATAAACACTTATGCTAAATATGCTATTTTAGCAAAACTAATTACTAAATTGTTTTATAAATTTGTGTTTTATACATTTCATTATTGAGTTAGGCTTTTTAAAAGTTCTTAAAAAGCAATTCTCATTTGTAATATCAAAGTATTTTAATTAAAAATTGTTTTTGTTTTATACTACCAGAAAAAAAAACTTGTTTGAAATTACTAGAATAAATCTAAAATTTTTAATTACTTTTAATTGAATTTGTGTTCCAGTTTTATTATATTTATTTTAAAATCAAAACTTTCATTAATCTCAACTTTTAGATTTTTTTTAATTGAGAATTTTTTGTTGGAATTTGAATTATAAATTACCCTTTTTATAGCACTGAATAAATTTCGAGTAGTTTTAATTATTGATAATTGTTATTAGATTTTATAACGAAAAAGACGTAAAATTGTAATAAACTTTTATTTTTCCTTTGGCAAATTAATAAAGTTTGAATTTGTTCAGGTGTCTGAACAAATGTGGTAAATGAAAATAAATGAATAATTGTGGTAAATGCTATTAACAATTATGATTAAAATTTAGTCTTAATATTTCTGTTGCTGATATTTTTTTTATATTGTTTTTAAAATTGATTTCAGATTAAATGTAAATATCAAATTAGTTTTTTCAATATCTTAATCAATTTTTTTCAAATTGATTTTTAGAAATAATATTTGACGTAAATGTATATAGGTATACACCAATTGTATTACAAATTTAGAAAAAATTCAGAAAAAATTTATTTTACTAATAACCTCAAATATAATACATACACTTTTTAGGGCCGAAATTAGTTATTAAACTAGTAACATAATTTAGCAAAATAACAAAAACATCAATTCCGAAATTAATTATCTTTTTCTTATAAATTAAACTTACAATACAATTGTAGAATACACAATTGTTATTTTAATGAAATATTTCTTAATAATATAATCTAAACTCATTTAATTTTACTTAAAAAACTTAATTTTCATTATAAAAAAAAAAACCAATTCCTGTTTACGAAAAATTATAATTTAAACGTGCATATATATGTATGTAAAATTATTCATAATTATTTATTTACTTAACATAAATATATAATAATATTGATTAAACCTGCTACTTCTAAATTATTTATGCAGTTTTGTATGCAATTTATAATAATATTTCACTCTTTTCATATTATTCACTTATTATTTATTATATACTACAAAAATTATAAAATTAAATATATTATTAATAATTATACTTTTCAATTAAGTTATTACACATTCATATGCTTTGTACTCGTATAATGTATTATATAATTTTAAAATGTAAATTTTTGTATCCATTTTTTAAGAATTATTTAATTTTTTATTAGATGTAATTAAAAATATTATCCAATAAATATCAAATAAATTATCAATAAATTACGATTATAATGAATGAAACCAATTTTGTATTAGTATACAAACGACAAAAATTAAGATTTTTTGTTTTTGTTTTTTAGTGAGAATGAGATTTTTTTTTTTTTAATATACAATACTTACTTAATAATACAATATTATTTAATTAGTATTTTACAACAAAATTTTATTATTTAATCAAATGTAAATTTATATTTATTGATTAATTACTTCTCAGCAATTTTCTAAATTAATTATATATTATATATAATATATTAATTTAATCTAAAAAATATATTGTATCTACTTTTATAAAAAACAAATTTTATAATAAAATATAGTGAAGCCAAAATGCAAAGAAAAAATAAAAATATTTATTTAGTGCATTTTTAAAATATAATATATTTTGAGTGAACAAAAATGAAGATACAAAAAGAATGATATGAAGATTGCATTGTAAAAAAATTGCAAAAATTATTATACAAATATATTGTATTAAACAAAAAAAAAATATATATATGTAACACTAATTACTAATGTATTCATACAATAATTAAAAAAATTGAAGACTTCACTATTAATTTCAAACATTCAATTTTAACATTTTCAAAAACATTTCCATGCACTGTCTTTTTTACAAAATTAAAAAAAAAAAAATTATTTATTTATAATACATAGTTGGAAGTTTTAATAATTATACTCGTATCATACATGAATACAAAATAATATATTCTAAGTAAAGAAAAAAGTGCTTAGTTGATTCTGTGATATTTTTTTTATGTCTTAAGTTGATAAATGCTTTTTTTTTTTTACATTATATTAATTGAAAACATGACTATGTATTTTATATAAAAAGGAAAATTATTCAAAAGATTCAAAGAGATTTAAAAATATGTGAATTGAAAAGGGTTTTTTCTATTTTAATTTACCATGCTTTAATTTGATCGTAAAGGAAATATGTGTTATTAATATAAAATATAATTAATTTTAATGCTATTTTTAATTATTAATAAATAACCTTTATTGTGTTACCAACACAATATTATTTTGGTTGTATATGTATTTCTTTTATAATTATATAATTTAATTCAATATTTTGGACGATAATCAGAGTTATTTTCATAGAAAGTTTTTTATAATTTTTAATATTAATATATTCTTAAAAATTATTATTCTAGAAAATAATTAAAATTTCGTACAAAATATTGTACTCGTATTATAAAAATATTAATAAATTATAATATTTTCTGCATTTCAATAAAAAAGAAATTACATATTCGTATATAGCATTAAATATAATTAAAATTTTAAATTGATTTATGATAATGAAAAAAATATTATTTAAAAATTATTTTAAATAGAATCTTAAAAATGGATGCAGTAGTTAATTTGTATTTCGAAAGATAAATTATCATATATATGTATATATATGTATTTAAAGTGAAATCATAACATATGATATTTAAAAAAATTATCTAAGATAATACGAAAATTGTGGGGTGGATATAATATTGATATTTTGATTATTTTTACATGATGTTGAGATATTTTTATTTATTAAAATACTTACATGGTAATATTTTGTTATATAAATGTATATATATATATGTATATATTTTCTTTTTTTTAATTAAGAATTGTGAAAAAAAAAACATTTTCAATCTATGTCATTTTATATTCTTTTGAAAATATTATTGTATATAAAATGATAGATTTGAAATGTATTAAAAATAATATCGATATTTTTATTTTTTTTTTTTCAGTTTTTTTCTATTTTTCTTTTTGGACATAGCACCTTTATCAACTAAGTACTTCAATGAAGAAAACTATAGCCTTTTTAATATTTTTAGTATAATATATTTATACTAACATTTTATAAATTTATATTTTTAACAAGGAATTTGTGTTAACATATAGCGTTAAAAAAGCTGTGATTTAAAATGATTAAACAATTGATTAACATTTATCAATACAGTTTTTAAAATTTTTGAAAAACATAAATCATTTTTAAATATACATAAAATTATATATATATATAACTATATATAAAAAAAATACTCGGATAATTTTCAAGCCTAATTTTTATTTGTAAACGAATTACACATATATTTTATTTCTATGGATTTTTATTTAAATGATATTTTTTAATGTTTTGAATACATGTATGTATAATAGAAATAATAAAAAAACAATTAGGAATGTATTTTATTTTGATATAAGACGATATTGATGAAATTCTGAAATTATGCGGTGCACGTTTTTTTATGTTTTATTGATGTAAATACAACAGAAAGTTATTTAAAAATTATAAATAAAAATATTGAATGTTAAAAAGAAATTCTGATTTGATTGTTAAATTTTCATAATGGTTAATAATATAACATTTGTTTGATAAATGCATAATATTATCACTTATAATCAATTAAATTAAAACTGCCATTAAATTAAAAAAAAAAAAAGACTATGTTAAAAATTGTATATTTTGTATGCATGTATTTTGTATGCATCCATTTTAAAAGTGCGTTTCATTTAATTAGCGTAGCGTATTCTGTTATTGTTGTTTTTAGACAACAAAAAAAAATATGGGCACTCAAAATACAAAAAATTTATGTGATATAATTTTTATAAAAATTTAGCTGTTTTTGATTCTAGTTATGGAAATATTGGGTAGCTACATTTTTAGGAATAGAGTTTTAATTATTCTAAATATTAAATTACTTTTATTTATGCTTACTGTAATTGAATAAAAATTATTGTTTATGCATATTTTAGGATTTTTTCCACCGTTTATTCTAAAGGAAATAATGTTGGATTGAATCAATGGTTTGTAAAGAAGCACTTTTCCTGCTAAAGGTTGCAAAATACTTGGTTCTAACGAAATAAATTGTTGCTCAATATCTAAAAGCTGTTTCAGATTTCTACAGCTTATCGTCTAGAACAGAAACGGTATTAAATTTTGAAAAAAAAAAAAATAGAGTTAAGATAACGGTTAATTTTAATAGTCATTTTGTTTTTTTTAAGGTCTAACTGAGCTAAGCCGTGATAGAAGAAACTCAACACTACTTTTCTGCGTTTACAGAATTTAAAAAATGATCGTGTGTTCGTTATAATAAAAAGTAAAAAAAAAAAAAAAAAAACATTTTTACAAATTTGTACGACTATAATTTGTAAAAATTATCTCCTATGGAAATAAATTTTTTACACAAAAACAATTTCAGCTTTCTGTCTTAAATGGTGTAGAGGTTTTGGGAACATAGACACGGAAAGACGAAAGTACGGACGGACGGGACAGAATGAATCTAATAAGCACTTTTTCTCAATTTTTTATGGAAAAGTGCCAAAAATATATAAATATTCACTTATGTTTTCAAGAAAATTATGTAATAAAACATTCTTCGAGGGCCTTTCAGTTTCAGAATATAACTAATTTATGTGCTACACACAGAGAAAAATTTCTTTGATTTTTATATTACAGTATCTTAACTTTATGAAAAAATAAGAGAATTCCTAACATTTAACATATAATATTAAATTATATTATATGAAAATGTATTTTATTTCAAAATATTATTTATATTAGTTAAAAATTTAAAAATAAACTATTTTATTTTAATATATATATTTTATATATAATAAATATATGTTTTATTCTAAAAACAGCTAAAATTTAAACCGAAATTTGTCTAAATCAATATTTTTTTATTTTGCATTTGTGGTCGCATGTAATTGTAAGCAAAAAAAAACTGTATTATTTTTTTGAGTGTATAAAAAGAAATAATGTTAAAACTTCAAACAAATTTCAAATCTTGTTTTTGAATACAAATATTGAAACGAAAAAATATAGTATTTATGTATTTATAATATTTATGTATTTTTTTTCTCACTTTTTTTTTCTATATAAAATTACTACAATTCATTCCAATTCAAATAAAAAATGCGTTGTTGTGTTTAATTGGTAAAAATTAAAAAAAAAATGAACTAAATGGTAAATGGTATAAATAAAAGCTCCATTTTTAAAGAAAATTATTTAGATTCTTTTGAATTAAATTTTAAAATTAAATTTTCTTTTAACACTAATTATACCTAAACGAGCAAGTGAGTAAATACTCACGGATGAGTGAATTTAAAAATTTTTTATAAAAGTATCAATCAAGTAGAATTTGTTTTGAGAATTTATTTCAAACATTCGAAATTTTAAAATGTATTATTTCATTAGCTTTAAAATTCATTTAATATCGAAATATAAAATTTCTTAACAATATAAATTATTTACAAATATAAAAGTTTTATGATTTTGCATAATTAAAAAACCTCTTGTATTTTTACTATTTAACAAAAACTTTAAAGCTTTTGTTTTTAAACATACTTTTGGTCTATTTCATTAAAGAAGTAGTTTAATTTTTTTGCTAGAAATTTGAATATTGCATGCCCGTAGGTACAGGAAATTTAGCATATAGTGTTATAGCTAAATTTTAGCTAACAATTCTTTTGTTTTATCTGATATAATTAACAATGTTCCAAAAATTGTATCAGAAATAAACTACTTTTTGGAATTTCATTTACTTAATATTTATTTCGTTACAACGGAAATGTTACAGAGGGAATAAAAACGAAAAAGAAAAGAAAAAAATGCAGCGAGAACAGAAACTTTAACGGAAACTATATCAAAATCAAATAAAATGGTTATAAAAATTAATTTTAAATCTTTAACGTTAAATTAACTTCCAAACAAATTTAATTGAACAAAAATAAAAAAAAATATTTATCTATAACGAAATATTTTATTTTTTTTGTTAGTTTACAAGATGCATAAATAATTGTGTTTAAAATTTTATATGTTTTGTTTTTACTTATATATATATATTTATTTTTTTAGTGAAATGTATATATTTCTGAAGGCATAATGTTTGATTATTATAGTTAGTTGTTAAAAATTATGTTATGACAATGTCGATATAAAATGACCAAAAATAAAGGAATTAAAAATAAAAGATGGCATACTAAACTACTTTACCTCATTTCAAAAAATTACAAAATGAATTTTAAATGAGGTTATAAAATATGATTTGTAATGATTTAATGTTAAATTTTCTGTTTTTTTCTTTTTTGATTTTTTTTTTTGTTTTGCAGACAAATAATGTACGTACCCTCATGCCCTGCATACGGGACATGGCACGTAGAGGTCTCAGTGCTCTTAATGTTCGCATAGTTTTGAAGGCTTGAATACCACCGGCTCCAACAAGTGAAGCGACAAAGTTGATAAGCGATACCTGAACATTTTTATTTTGTTTTTTTTTTTTTTTTGGTTTAATTATTTTTAAGCAGTTTAAAGAAATATATTGATTTTTTTTTAAATATTATTTTACAGTTTTTAGTGATTTTTAATGTCGTATTTATTTTTGTGATATATTTTATTTTTTTTAATATTTATATGTATATATATATTGTTATATTTTTATATAGAAATAATTTAACAAAGGAAAAGAGAAAAGAAAAATGTTTCATTAATATTTTATCCTATTTTTTTTTTTTTCAAATTATTTAAATGTTCATTAAATAAAACTAACAATGAAAAATTGAATTAAAAAAAAGAAAAAAAAAAAAGTATTGAAAGAATTGAAACAAAAGTGAAAAATAAAATATATAATTGAAAATTTTGTGTTGAAAATTGGAAAATTCCGACAATTTTTTTTAATTAAATATTATTATAGTAAAATATTCTAGAATATATTTAATTCCCAATTATTTGTTTCATTATTAAAACACAAAACTGTTCTAATTTTTTATTGTATCCCATTAAAAATATATTTTTTACTGATTTTTTCTAACTAGAAATTTAATTATTGCTTTTTCCTGATAATAATTTTGATACACTCATTATACGATTTCTATTTAGTAAATTAAATAATTAATAATTAAAGTATTTTAAAAGACTAATTTGTTTTAAAAAAATTTCATTGGATGCTGGTTTTTTTTAAATATTCAGTATTGCCGCTAAATCGAATCCAAAAATTATTAAAACAAAAAAAAAACTAGTTTTCACCTGAACAATTTTATTTTTCCTTGACTTAACTTAAAAGAGTAGTTTCCAATTTAAACCTTTTGCATCGTTATTTAATTTAATCATAATAATCTTTTCCATTTAATCTTTGTATTTAATTTGAATTTTATTGGTCTGTTGTCAATATTGAAAATATTAACTATTCCGAGAATGCCAAACACAACAAAAATGTATGTTTATTCAAAGTTTTTCTTTTATTAAAATGTGTTTTGATTGTAAGTTATATTTGGACATCAAGATTTTTCTTTATAATTTGAAAAGCATTTAGTAGAGCTCTATAAAGATATTTAAAGCAATAGTACATCGAATTCCTTTACATATTTATATATAAATGAAAAATAATATAGAACACAAAAACAATAAAATAAACAATAAATATAAGCACTCTTAAAAATTCATAAATTATAATAAAACAAAAATTAAAGTTTTTTTTAGCAAATTTTTTTATTCCAAATGTATATATTAAGTTTAATGAAAATAAGAAAAAATATGGACATTTTACAAAAAAAAAAGAAAATAATTTTTTAATAGAATTAAATTTCACAACTATTGTGTTTGCATTTCAATATTTATATAGCAAGAAATTTGGAAAGAACCCAAAATGAAAAAAATGACTATCAAAAGAAAAATTCTCAAAAAATAAAGACAAATCAAGGGTACAATGTAGAACATAAAAAAAAATTGAACAAATTAATTAAATTCACAAAAGAACTAAAAAAGAACAATTTATTGAATATTCACAATAAAATTTATTTTGGCTGTACCACAAAGTTATTATCCCAGTGTTATAGCATATAAATGTGAAGTTTATAGTTTTTTTTTCAAATTTCTTAAGTTTTTAATTAGAAAAATATTAGAGATAATTATGGAAGATTTTAACATGATATTGGTTTGGCATACTTTAAAAAATTTGGATTTAGTTAATAACTATTCAAAAATGCATAGATTTTGTGTTACAAAAAAAATATTTTATTAAATTTTTTCAAGTTTTGACTGCTTGAATTAATTTTATCAAACAGTTGGTAATTTTTTATGAAATAAATATTCAATTTCTGATTAAATAAATATAAATTTATTTTTATTATAAAATTTACTACATTATTAGTGTATTGAAGGGTTTATCTAATTAAGTAAAGTTTTATGAAATCTCAAATGTTTTCAAATATTGTTAAATAGAAAATTATAAAATATTAGTTTTTGTAAGTAAAAATTTCTCAAAAATTAAGTTTTGAAGATTTATGTTCTACGAATTAATAATAAAAAATATTCCGACACTGGGATAGTATTTAGCTGCTATTCAAAAATTTTTTTTTTTACTTTTTTTTCTTACTCGTATATAATTAGAAAATCAATATGAAAAAAAAACATTGAAGGCACATCTCTTTATTGCTTTACAATTGACAACATTTAATACCGAAATAATTTGTAATCATATTTAATTATACTTTTACAGAAATTAAATATTATTGTACATATATATAGTATATTATGTACATACATAAATATATATATAAATACAGATGTATAAAATTAAAGACATTTTGAGATAGTCTATAATATTTTCCTCAATATATAAAGTTTTTACAGCTTTTTTTTTAGCCTATTTAGATAAAACTACTTACTCTCATACCCTCCCATCTAGAAACAGCCCTTAAAGGTCTTAAAGCGCGAAGAGTTCTCATAGAACGCATGCCTTGGCTGTCACCAAATCCAAGCATTATACCAGCCAAATTTATTAAGGAAAGCTATAGCATGTATATATATATATAGTTAAAAATTTATCAGATAAATATAAAATTGGGATTTATTCGATTTCATTATACCAAAGATCAATAAAATAAAATGTCCCAACATTAATTGTTAAAAAAAATACAGAGTATGATAGATTACTTGAAATATCGTAGTAATATAAGTTACATATTTGTAACATTTGCAATCCTAAACATTTTTATTAACATTCATTTTCATTCTATCATTTTCTGATTTTTTATACATTTAAATTGGACATTATTTTTATAAAATACCATCTTTTTTTGAAATTTTATAGTAATATTATTTACATTCGAAAATCCTGAAAAAAATCTTTAAGTATGGTATAATTTATATTGAATTTTTTAATGTTTCTGTCGGCATTTAAACTTAAAAATGAGTTTATACGTAAATATAATTAAATAAAAATGTTTATAACAAATTTTCAACAGAATTCAAAATAATAGAAAAAAAATAACATTATGTATAAATGTAGGTAATTTAAAATAATTAAATTATAAAATTAACTAAATATTTAAAACAATAATACCCATATTTCTATTATAATATTCGAAAATTTCAACGCGGTTATCTTACCATTACAATAACAAAATCAAGCCAGCACCACGCATTCGTAAAATAAACTTTAAAGCCCAAAGCCAAAAATTTGATTAACATTTCTATGAAAAATATCACTGTAAATATTCTGTCCATATAATAAAGGATATCTTGTAATATTGGTCGATGGGGAAGATGAACATCCTCTAGAGCCTAAAAAGAAAATATTAAAATTTTTTACAATTTTTCTTCTTTTATTTGTAATTTAAAATTAGCCCTTAGAACCATAGTACATATGTAAATATTTATTTTTATGTTAACATAAAAATACATTATGTTTTTACTTAAAACGAACTTACGGTTACGTCTTTACTTACCAAAGCTAAACTACTGAGTAAAATCAATGTAATGACAGCTGTTTCAAAATATTTATTTTCAATTAATTGAAAAGTTTTCAGTCGTAAATTACCCCATCCTTGCCAAAATGGTGAATCTTCATCACCGGCTAAGAATGGGAATTTCTGATAATATGAGTCTGGGCAGCAATCAGCTGGATATTCATCTAATATTACTTCATTATCGTGTGCATGTATAATAATATCACCATCTAGTGCACCTTCTTCACCTTCACCTTCTTCGTCGCATTCTTCATCTAAACCTAAATCTTCTTTACTAACATCACGTTTTTCTTCGCCATCCATTGTTTCAGCGCTACCCTTATGACTTTCATCCTTGAATGGTCGATTCTTATGGCTACCATATGAATTAATGCTGGCAGTGTCATCGTCCTGCAAGGACAAACCTCTATGGTTTAATTCGTGTTCCAGTCTATTGTCTTGGTGGTTAATCGAATTTCCAATCATCTACAAGTTATTGATATTAATATAATTTTAGTTCAAACATAAAAATTAAAAAAAGCAATAATTTTAATAAAAAATTTATTTTACCGTTGCATTATTTAATAATTTTCCTTTTTTCGATTTATTATTTTTTAGATCACCGTGTATTGTAAATTCCATTCCATCACCTATTGCAACTTCCAGTTGATTTTGTTCCTTTGTACCCTTTTTCAGAAGTCCATCAGCCAGGATGTCATCGGGTCCTAACTCGAACTCATTATCACCATGTTCTGCAGATATACAACGACAAACCCCCTTGCCTATCGTATCCGTTTCGTTTGATAGTTTTTTTTTTATTTATATTTATTTTTAAAATTTAGATATCCAACAGATTTTGTTCAAATTCCGTTGTACATTTTTTCAAATTCAATTGATTGCAAAATTTTGTAATTTTTTATTTGCATTTTTTTTTATATATTTTATATCACGAAACGGAGTGATGAGCATTCATGAAAGAAGGGGGCCAAATTCATGTCAAGAGCGATATTACAATTTTCAAAATTTTTTTGTAAATTTATTTTACAACCACATTTATAAGTGCCAATAACAATCAATATATGTATACATATATATATATTTAAATATACATATATGTATATACATATGTTGTAAAGAAATAATTACATTAACAGCAACAACCATATAGAGAGAATCACAAATAAAATTAATTAACAGCATTCAACACGATAAAATAAATTAAAAAAATAAAGTAACTTGAATTAAATTAAACTGATTTGATAAGGATAAATATAAAATTAATTTAAATACGAGTACACATATATTAAATATATGTATTTATGCATTACATATTTTTTATAATTTAAAAAAAATTTTCAAAGAAAATCTTTCCTATATATTACATTGGTGTATGGTTGAAATTCATAACTATTATGTAATACAGCAACTTTATTGAATAATTGATTCAAATAAATTTTTTTTTGTATAGAAATTCGCTGTTTATAAGATAATTTAAGAGAGTGCTTTATTAATAAGCATTTTGTAAAAACATTTTGAGGAGAGAAAACCAAAATTACATTTTATTATTTGATTAAGTTTTTACAATTATTTTTTAAAAAAGAAGGGAATAGAATTTATATTTAATAAGTTAAAGTTTTTAGAATGCATGTATCTTTTTTGAATACGGCTCTATAAGTTAAACTTTTTAATAACCTTGAAATTTTTAATTTATACGTAATATTCGAGCAATTTTATAATTATGTATATTATTTCAAATAAGTAAACAAAATTGCATATAATATATACATATATATAATTTTGAAATTTTTTGTATTTTGAAATCGAATTATTGCTCTTTGATTTTGTCGTTGGGATATATCCAAATAGAAATTATGAAAACTTTTACTAAAAAAAATTTTCATAATTTCATAGTAAATTATATAATTAAAAAGAAGTTTAAAATAAAAAAAAATCTGAAATATTAATGGAGGGGGAGCTGACTTAATAAATGCCAATATTATCGGATAATGTAGAAAGTCGAAAAGGTGATTTAATATTTAGCCAATTTTTTAACAATGTTAGAATTCAAAACTATTCTATTATTCATTACGTGACATACAATTCCAGTTATAAGTACTAAATAAATGTTTGAAGTTTTAATTGTTATTAATATCTACATAATATTATTATTATTTGTTTTATAAATAACTAATGATGCTTTTAAAATTTAATAATAATTTTACATTTATATATTACTAATGTAGGACGTGATAAGTTTAATTCATTTTTAATGACTTTAATGTAATTTCGGAAAATTTATCATCGACATTTTTTATTTAATTTATATCAAAATTTAAAATGTAACAAGTTAATGAATTTATTGCGAAAATCAAAATATTCAAGATATCGTAAAAAATATGTTGAATACAAATTATGTAGGTATATTTAAAAATTGTCACATTAATTTATGTAATTAGATCAATGTTAACAAATAAATTGAAAACAATAAATTTCTTTTTTTGAAAATGTAAAATATTTTAGTTAAGTCTTTTGAAGAATTTTTAAAAATATGCTGCTTTATAGCATTAACTTTGAAATCTTCAATTCCTATAGTCATTTTTTCTGTGTTAAGCTACAAAATATAATTTATAACTTATCACGTATAATATTTATTTATGAAATAAGTAAAAAAAATAATAATAAATTTTTCCTTTCTTTCACTAATTCAATATAATTTTTCTATTTTACTTCATATATCTAATATAATATAATATATATAGTTAGTAATTTCTAAATTTTAGACGAAACTTAATAATTTTCAACTTTTTTATACAGTATGTATTAAGATCTAAAAATTAAATCAACTCCTTCAAATAAAAAAAATATACAAAATAAAATATAACAACATAAAAACATAAAAATTTTACTATTTATAAAAACAAGTTACAGTAATATTAAAATATAATTTTAAGTATTCTAAAATGAAAAAATTAAATTAGGCATACGAACCAACAAAAACTATTCAAACAAAAAATCAAAATATAAATAAATTGAAATCAAAAACAAATAAGTATACTATCTAAAACTATTAAAATTAATTACAACATCAATATGGAAGGGTAAAATCCACTGTTTTACTTTAATTTAATATCACAATAATTTATGATTTTTTTAACAAATACAAAATGATTTCCTGTTTTTTTCTTATTAATTATTTTGTTAATTTAACGATATTTATATACACATAATCTATTTATACTTGTACAATGCAACAAAAAACTAAATTACTAGTGAATGTTTAAGGAAACTAAAACTAAACAAAGCAGTTTGATAAATTATAAAAGTATTCTAAGAGTACGTATAACATCATGGAGATCTGTCAATTTTAAAATAAAATTGCTTATTTCTTAAACTAAACCTTCAAATTTTAAATATTTATAACTAAATATGTATACTGTTTGCTAATAGTATTAAAATAATTCCTTTTTCATAAATTATCAAACTACTTATGTATAAATGAAAATAAAATTATTAAAATTAAAAATAACAAGCGGTTCTATACCTCTGATATAGTTACTTTTTTCAACTATATAAATAAAATATATTCGTTCATGTTGTAAATCGAAACTTTAAAGTATTAATTTTAAATTCAACAACATATTTGAACCGAACCGAAAGAAATCCACAAACGTATTAAATAATAAGTGACGCTTTTCTGAAGAATTAATGTCATTGAAATTATTTTTTTTTTTTAATTTTTAGTTTGTGTCGTAAGTTTGTATAGTGTAAGCATAGTTCAATTCTAGTTTTATTAGGTTGAGTACAATTATAACAACCATAATAGTATTTTAGATTTATAAATAAAAGAGTTTAGTATACATAACTCTCATGTTATTTTACCAATGATCTTATTTTGCCATTTAACTTTTAGATTTTTTATAAGACTTATATAATCAAAAATGTTAATATTTTCTTAAAACATTATTAAAATTTCATCATTAATATAGTTTTTTGTTTTTTATGACTTTCAAAGGCAAGTTATGCGATAATCAATTTTATGCATATTAAATGAATAAATTTTTGGATTTTTGTTTTCAAAAAATAGGTTGTTGAATTCAAGAAATATAATGAATTTGAAATAAAAAAATAGTGCTTCAAACTATACACAACTAGGATAAATTTTTATAATTTGAATTACTTTAAAAAAAATATTTTAATTTCTAATAAGAAAATATAATATGAATTCATTCATAAGATGATTCAATTTTGATCAATGTAATAAAAAAAAATCAAAACGACATGAATTGCGAGTATATGCAGAGGTAATTAGTTTACGAATGATCATTTTGAAAAAATTCTATATTATTCGTATAAATTGGAAATAAATTACATTAAAAAATATCCAAAGATACATAAATGGCGTATATATCTATTTCTTTGGGATACGCTTATTTTTTATTTGATTTTGTAATATTTATACGAATAATATTTTAATTTACATTTCGTATTATTTTTATTATGCATATATTTTCATAGTGATTTATTAATTTATTGTATTCTTTTTTTATTTTTGAAAAATTGCCATTTTTTTTTCTTGTATTAAATTAAATTTAACTTAACAAAGAAAAACAAGTGGATAAAAACCTTCATTCCATATCCAACTGATGTGGTTGGTCCTCTCACCTGGCGGTTGATCACTTATTTGATTTGTCAATTTATTACGTATCGATTTAAAAAAATTTATAACTAAATTTTTAACCCATTTTTTAAAACGTGCTATTCTATTAAAGGCTTCGGCTATTTTGTTAGTATCGTTGTCGGCGGCTGGTGCTGCTAAACTTGATGAACCAAAATTAGACAAAAGCAAGGCTAAGAAAAGATTAAGTACCTAAAATGTATATATAAAGAAAAGTTTTATTATCCTTATTTTTTGCTTGTATGTTAATTATGTATATATATATATATGTACATATAAATCTAGTTATATAGAAAATTTTGTATGTATGTATGTACTTACGACCAAATTTCCAATAACAACTGTAGCTAAAAAGAATGGAATGCATGAAAAATCACCAACATGCATACAATCCCACATTGATTCGATCCATTCTCCACATAAGACACGAAATACTATCATGAATGAATGCATGAAATCAGTAAAATTCCATCGAGGTAGTTCTCCACCATCAAATTTATCTTGATGATCTAAATTTCAAAATCATAAATAATAAATCATTAATATTATATTAATTTTGAAGCATAAAACGTGGTTAATAGATTCATTCATTTTTATTTCTGAAATTTTTCACAATTAAAAAAAAACGTCAAAAGTTTTTATATACTTTCTAAGTTATGTAGAACCAGTTCAAGAATAAAGAAACAAATATCTTATATTTTAAGCAGCTTTTCAGAATTTGTATTTAAAAATAGCTATACATGTATAAACTTATAAGTTTTTCAAATATTGTGAAAATTTTCGTTATTGGAAATTTTCGAATACTGAAGTGAAAACAAAGTTTGGAAAATAAAATTATAAATGTATTCCCTATTGACTTTTTTATTTTTTTGGCAATAAAAACATCAAAAATTCAATTTTGAAAACTTCAAATTCAAAAAATTGTTCGTATATTCATCACCAGAGAGCTCTGACGAACAAAATTGCTATTGTGAATTACAATAATATGTATATGAATATTATTTTGAATATTTTCCATTACAGTTCACAAATAAAGAATACTTAATCATAGCATTAGTAATTATTACAAAAGTTAATTTGTATTTTATATATACATTCATAGTTTGCATTGTGAAAAATTTTAGAAATAATTATTTATAAATATATCGTTTTATTTATATTTATTAAGAGTAAGAAAAAACAATAAAAAGCGTGGAAGCAGAAATAGATTTAGAATAGAAAAAGAATAGAATTTTTTTTAAAATAATTGTTAAGTGGCAAGAAATTTACAGTAATTACATACGTATACATTTTATTTTTTTTTTTTTATTACACTTTTTTATATTGTCAATATAAAGTAGTTAAAAAAATGATTAATTCCCAAATTACACGATTATAGTTTTCAAAAAAATGTTATATACAAATGAATGTTTATTCTGCGATTTTTTTTAACATTATAATTATTATCTAAATAAAATAATCAAATTATTAATAAACTTATATTTTGTATTAAATGATACTACTGTGCAAATACAGTTAATTATTAAAAGTGTAAAAGTAGGATTTTAGTGTTATTTTGTATACAATTTAGTAAGCTGATCAAAAAAATGTTGACATTTATAAGCAAAAAAACATGCAACTATAATTAAATAATACAAAGCAATAAAAATAATAATCGTATTTGGAAATATTTACAAAAGTAGAAATGTGTTATAAAGAAAGAATATAGTTAAGATATACATACATATTAGAATTATTGAAGATATAAAAAAAATTGAAAGAGGAAAAAAATGCGCTTGTCTTTTTTTTTTATGTTTGATTAATCTGATTTAGAATATAAAATTAAAAAAATTAGAGATGAAAAACGGCGAAAACCTTCTTGTTTTTTTTTTACCTCAACGATATTCAACTGCAATTCGAATAAGTAAGTACGTATAATACTTTTGTTTTTTATCTTAATTGTATTGAAAAGCATAACTTTTAAATTTATTCTGATATATAAAGATTATAATTAAAGACTAGTATATCAGAAAACAGTCAAGAACGGAATTACTATATACCCAGTACTTATTGACAAACAATCTCGCGTTAATGGTTTTTGATTATTCTTGGCTAACTAACCAATAAGATTTCATTGTTATTGATTGCTAATTATATTATATATAATGGTTGATAATATTATAAAATTTAAAAAAAAATTTATTTGACAAACGAAATTTAAAACAAAATCTTAAAAATTATCTCAAAAGCAATATTAATTAATCTATTCTTAAGTTTGAATTTTTTTTATTGCTCTATTTATTGCTAAATTGGATGTATTTTTTATATTTTTAAAAAATAATATCGAATGTATAAAACAATATATAAAAACAATTTTAATCATTTAATTTCGATAAAAAAAAATTATTCACATTTTTATACATTTTTAGTTAAAAAATTTGGAATTAGATTAATTTTTATAAATTTTAATTAGGTATACCTATATAATATGATGCTAATTCGATAAAAAGAAATCAATAATCGAAATTTGATTTAGAATTTACATAATTGACATATATGTATTATTGTTTTAATGTTGAACACCGCCAAATTTGGAATTAAATCAAAACACAAAAGAAAAAAAAAAGAGTTGATCGCGTTATCTAATTAATTTTTTTACAACATCAACCCTGTTATTCGCTTCCGATTTCCACGCTAAGAAAGTTTAATGTGTCTGAGATCAGAAAAAAAGTAATGATACAATTATAATATCACAAGAATATAGCCTGGACCGACAAAAAAACAATACTTAACTTGTAAAATATTACGTTATTTATATTTAAAATTTATAATAAAATAATAATATAAAACAATCAAATTGTTCCTTATAATCATTAAATCAATAGTTATTTGAATAATAATATTGTTTTCACAAATAAAATATTTTAGGAATTTGAATGTTTATAGAAACTGGGTGTGCAAAATGATATATTTTATTTCTTTTTTCATAAGGATGGTAATTTTATGATCATTTTCATTTCTAGAACATATAGTTATGACCGTACACTATGTAAGGTTTCATATGTTCCTATGTATGTATAACATTCTATACTATATAAGGGAACGACTTTTGAGTTCTGAAATTATTTTTTTTTTAAGAATTATAAAATAACAAAATTTAAAATATAAAAAATACATGTATACTTAATAAAACATCGATATTACAAAAGAAAAATAACATTAAAACGCATGTATAATAAAATTACAAAATTGTTGAAAACACTTAAACAGATATTTTGTGTACTTTTTTTTTATTATTTTTTCATATAAAATATTTCTTGCATTTGTTTACACGAATGTATTACATTACGCAACATCTTTACAAAAAAAAAAACAAATAATCCATATTTATTCAACTATTTTGGTTGCGTTATTTTTTTTATTTTTTCAAATCAAATTTAATTTTCTTACCGGTATAATTTTTTCCAAAAAGTTGCATTCCCATCACGGCAAATATGAAGATGATAATACACAATACAAACGTTAGATTACCCAAAGCGCCCATAGTACGGCCCATAATCGAAATTAGTAAATTTAGTGTCGGCCAAGATTTTGCTAGTTTAAATACTCGAAGCTTTATTTGTTTTTTAATTTTTTTTTGGTTATAATGTTTGTTTTTAATTTTATTTTCATTTGAATTTTGATTAATTTTCATTCATAAATGTTTTATTAAATTGTAATTGGATTTATTTTTAACCATTGTTTTTTTTTTTTTGTTTGATGAAATAATAAAGATGTATATAATAATTTTTGTTTTGAATATGTTTTAATATATAATTGCATTCATCGATCATAAAAGCCGGGCAAAGCAAATTATATATATAGTTTTGGTTATATATATATGTATATTCAAATATATAGATATATGTATATAAATATTATGTAACGTAAATAAAAAGAGAAGAAAGAAGTATTTAAATAGTAGTATATAAAATAATTAATAAATATTATGTAAAATTCTATTAAAATTAAGTAGAATTTTTTTATATATATAGATTTTATAATTAATATAATTATGTTTATGTGCTTGTCTATTCTACAAAATAATGCTATTATATTTATGAATTAAATTTATTCGCTATCAGATATAAACAAATTCTGATTTTATTTTGATCATCTATAGTTACCCGTACTTATTATATAGAATTTATTATTAAATAAGAATTTTCATAAATATTTTAGCATTATTTTTTTTCTTTTATAATTGTCAAACTAAACTTCATTTTCTAAATTAACTTCTGTTATTCGATCAATTAATAAATTCCTATTCATTCCAATTAACTTAAAATAGTTTTATATTATATTTTACATATAAGAATTTCTATAATAATTAAATAAATTCAAATTAATTTTTCATTCATTTTCAAATGTATAACTATATATATATGTATGTATTTAGAAAATGGTGTGTTAAATCCTGGAAATATACACAGTATATACGAGTAATATTATATTTTTATGTAACAAGAAAAAAAAAACTTCCTAAAAAATAAAAAAGATTCAAAACAGAATGTTATATTAACAGCGTTTTATTTTATATTAAATATTTTATTAATAAATAATATAGTCTTCTATAGTATTAGGTGCTTTTTTAATATATATTTTGAATTCCAAGTACATATTTTGTAAAAGCCAAAAAAGATTTTATTTAAAACGCATTAAAAATGTAAAAAAAATTCAAAGAGATACTAAAAAAAAATAGAACTCATAATACAATTGATATATAAGTATTCACAAATGAATGGGGAAAATTTCATAAATTTGCCAGCATTCATATAAAATTTATAAACTATTCATATATTATCATTCATCAAGAATTAATAAGAGTCAAAAGAATTATTTCAATTATATTTTATATATTTATGTATGTATATAGGTATTGTATTATTATTATAATAAAGTATAATATATTATATATAATAATATGTATTATATATCATTTAAAAGAAATAAAAAGAAGAAAATTTGAAAATTCGATATTATTGTAAAATTGAAATTAATATATCAGCTAAAAAAGATTGAATGCGAAAGTTTGGATTTTATTAATTTTTTTTTGTTTTTTAATCATTATAATAAAATGTCATCGCATTGCATTGCAATTATGTTAAAAGTTATTCGAAGTTATTTTTGACGTCTTGTCAAATTTCTCTAACCTGTATAATTTTTGCCAAATAATTGCATCCCCATAACGGCAAATATGAAGATGATAATACACAATACAAATGTTAGATTGCCTAAGGCACCAACAGTGCGTCCCATTATTGAAATGAGTAAATTTAAAGTTGGCCAGGATTTAGCTAATTTAAAAACACGTAACTGGAAAAATGTTATATAATGTAGACACAAACAAAACACAAAAAAATGCAAAAAGAAAATAATAAAAATTCGAATACTTTCATTTTACAATCAAATTTATATGTGTTCGATTAAATATTTTGTTGTATAAGTATTTTGAAAAATTTCTATCTTTTTTTTAACCTTATTTACTTAAAAGTAATTTCAGATATATTATGCAACATAAAGAAAAAATTGGAGATTAGTTTTAAATTTTAAAAATTTTTCTCAATTAAATACGTTTATTTTGTTTTAGTTTTAAAATACAAAGTCACATAGACTGTAAAATATGTTACAAGTATACACTACGATATGTCAATTTATATCGTTATTAAACGGAAAATTATCAGAATGTGTCAAATGTTTATTAAAAATGCAGAACTGATCAGCTACTACGATTTACTCAAATAGAGTTGGATATGATTTTTGCTGATTTCAATAATTTAATATTTTATCATAATTGCCAATAAGAATCTGCATTTAATAGACTGTTTTTATTTTACAAAATGCAATTGAATATGTATTAGTTTCAGAGTTTGGCAATAATATGCATACATATGTTGAAATAAAATTCTTTTTTAATTTTTATTGTGCACAAATTCTCTGAAATTACTTCACCTCTCTATTTATTTAATTTTTGTTGTGCTCTATAATAATTAAACTGATTTTCTAATCTATTCACTTAAATTTTAGAAAAAAAAAATTAGCACTTTAAAGTTTAGTTTTCTTTTTCTCTTATAATTAATTATGTTTGTAAATAATATTCTATGTAACTTATAACTATATTAATTATACCTGAAAAATATTACAATTCAATTTGTAATAATATAATTAAGAAATAAAGTGATTCAATTAAACAAAAAAAACAACCAAAAAAATATACTCACCAATCGAAATGAACGTAATACAGATAAACCTTGAACTCCTTCTAAACCAAGTTCAAGTAATGATAAAGCTACAATTATAAAATCAAAAATGTTCCACCCCTCTTGGAAATAATATTTTGGACTCATTGCTACTAATTTCAAAGTGGCTTCGATGGCAAATGTTGCCGTGAAAAACTAAAATAAATTTTTTATTTAATAATAAGTAAATATTTTAATTACATCATTTATCAAGTACGAAAAATTTTTATTACATTATTAATAAATTTTAAAGTTAGAACCGTTTATTATAAAGAAAAGAAAATGAATTTTAATACTTACATAATTACCACTTTTTAATGCTTTTTCCATATCTTTATTCATATCATGATGATCTAATGCCATAAATAATGTATTGACAACAATACATAATGTTATAAAAAGTTCTACAAATGGATCGAAAACTAGCCATGACACCCAACCTTGAAATATTAACCAAGGCCGACAACAATCCCAAACGCAAAATATCTCGATTCCCTTTAATATAACTTCTAATGCTTTATCTTTGAATGTTGGACCGTCTTCGTCGTCGTCTTCCTCTGTTGGAAAATAGTAAACAGAAACTGAACATAAAAGTTTTAAATTAGTGAATATGTGGCACTTTGACTCAACCATTTTTAGATTTTTCAATTTCTAAATAAATATCAATTTCTTTGTTTTTATTATATTTCTTTTATATAATTATATTATATTGAAATTACATTTTACAAAAAAAAAAAAAAAAAAAAAAAACTATTATTTTTCTTGTAACTTAAACTGTTATACAAGTATAGTAGTTTTCAATAATAAATTTAATTGTTTTCCTTTTTTTTTAATTTATTTTTAACTCGTTTTAATGTTCCACTGTTTTTGTATAGTGTGTTTTATATTTAATGTTTTATATGTTTCAATATATTTTTGGGTGGGGGAAAAAGAGGCTCACTTCATTTTCGTTATTTGGAAAAGGAGCGCAATTTATTTTGATTGAAAATAAGTCATTTTTGTATATATATTATTTGAAAGTTGTATATTGTGGAATTTTGTAGGAAAGTAAAACAAAAAAAAAAAACAAAGTAAAAAAATTAAGTTGTAGATGCCATATCGTAAAATTTTTTGTATGTAATTATAATAGATATAGAGAATCTAAAAAATTAAAATTTTGCCATTTTAAGTAGTAATATTTATGAGAAAACATCAAAAGCCTAATTTTATTATTATTTTTTTTCTGATAATTGAGTTGAGTTTGTGGTGTGTGTGTGTGTATTTTTAAATAATGTGAAATATTCATAATAATGTATGTACTTTAGTAAAAAATCATTTAATATTAATAAAAAGTATTTTAATTCGAATTAATTAAAATAAATTATGTGTGAAGTTTGACGTGTTTGTGTAATAACATCGATCGTGATACAAAATATATTTAAGGTCAGTTTTGTTTTCTATTGAGGTATGTATAAATTTCTAAAAATTCTACTGAAAGCAAATTATTTTATACAATTCTTTTATCCGTTTTTAAGCAGAAAATCATTAATATTTTATATAAAAATGAAAATTTTTCAATGGAATTTCCATTGAAATTCCTTGCTTTCAGCATTATTTTGTTTTTTAACGTAAAAATTTTTTTACAATCATACAATACAAAGTTTATCAAATATATATCGCAATTTTGTCAAAGACATAATTTGAAAATTGCTTTATAATTTTAAATACATCAAAAATTTCTGAACTTTAAATAGCTGTTAATTATAAAACACTAGACTATTTAAAATTTTATGCTCTTTGTATCGTTTCATTGTAAATAAAATTTAGCTTTTAATAGAGTTAATTCTGAGAAAGTTTCTGGTTTTGATTTTTATAAATTTTATGAGTTCCATATTTATAAACAAAAAGTTTTTCACTTCTTTAAGCTGCATTTGACAGCTTAAAATACAATTTTTGAATATCTATACTGCGTAATAAAAACTGTATTTTTACTTTTTGAAATATGTAATATTGTAGAAAGTTTTCGACATTTAATATAGAACTTAAAACTTTGTAGTGAAAACGTTTTTTTTTTTTTTACAAAACATGAAACTCAAGGTATATTTAAAATAATTATATTATAATGAAATTATCGCATTTTCTATCTACTGTAATTAAGCTATTATGACCGTAAATGAAATTTTATGGTCTTTCAAAAAAAAAAAAATAAAAAATGTATATTTCTAAAGCTAAGAAGGATAAGGTAATTTTGCTTTTTTTGTTAATTAATTTGAAATTACATTTCCTATATTTGTAATTTCTGCAAGTCATAAAATTACGATAATAAACATTCAAAACAAAATTAATTTCTAATATGTATTATCATTTGAATTTAACTAATTAAAAATAGAATACTATGCTGGCAACATTAAAAATGGCATTTTGAAACAGCAAGCGTGCTTCCGTTATTCAAATTTACAATATTTTAATATATTTATCACGTTTATTATTTATTATTTTATAAAAATTAAATAACAAAGTTTTTATTCTTAAATTTTAGATATGATATTCAATTAATCGATAATTTGTATAACAAGGACAGATGTGTACTTATGTAATATCTACTGGATTATTAAGGATTAATGTTTTATTAAAAATATTCTCTTGATTTTTTGTTTTCTCTTCAAAACTCATAATTTAGGATTTAGAATATTAGTTTCATTAAAAACTGATGATAATATTTTTGAAATTAAATATAATTATCCAAAAAATCAGATTTAAAATTAAAAAACTAAGTTTAATTTTTAAATGGGAATCTAAATTAGTAATTAATACAGAAAGAAACTGTTTAATTTTCAAAAAAAAAGTGAATTTAACAGATAAAATGAAAAACAACTTCTAAAGAAGACCAATATATTATAGAGAAAATTTAAAAAACCACAAATTTTTCTTTCCTTTCAAATATCAAAGCCTTACATATATTAATTTATTAGTATTTATTATGAGTTAATTTAAATGTTTAATATACATATTTATTGCAATTTCCTAATTTGATTCAAAACAGCAAAAGAGAATATATATTACTGATTTTGTTTTGTTTTAAAATCAACCAGACTCAATATTAAAGCTTCTTAGCTGATATTAAAGCTTCCTACTAATACTTTAGTATTTTTTTATAATTTCTTTAGAAAATATTTATTTCTTGGAGGAATTGCAGGTCATAAATAAAACTCAGTTATTAATTGTGTCTTTTAAAGTTACTTTTCTTTAGAAATTATGACTAAAATAAGTTTTGATCACTTAATTAAATTTTAAAATAATCAATATCCGAAACTATTTGTATTTTTTAATTATTAAAGCAAAAAATAAATTTTAATTTTTAAATAATTATTTATTTTAAGGATTTTAATTAAGTTTCTTATCTTTAATAAATTATGAGAGAAAGGATTTCTATGTAAATAATATTTAGTTTAGAGCAAATTTTAAATTCAAATTCAAATTACATTATAGACTGCTTTCACATCTATGTACATACAAATCCTTTCATTAATTCAGTTTTAAATATTCTAAGTTAAAAGGACATTTCGTTTAAACAAAACTACACACTAAATCTAAATATATTTATCATTTTATAATTTAATTTTTTATTCTTCGTCAGTTGAAAGGTGGTAAAATTTCATATTGTAAGAATAAATTTGAACAAACTAAGGGACCAGAAAAAGAATAATACTAAATAATTTTTCTAAAAACGTACTTTTTGTAAAGGAAAACATTTTTTTTTTTCATTAAAAAATTGTAATTGTATTATTTTATGTAAGTTTTATTTGTTTTGTAAAATAGCACATTAAATATAATATTCGTGCATATATAGTGTAAAATTTAGAAGTAAGATTTTTAGTAAAATTTATTTAGATAATGGATTTTAATATCTTTCGCTATAGGTGAAGTGAGCGCAATGCTTAATTTAAATTTAATTACTACTTTTATGTAGCGTTCAAATATAATTTATAAAAAAGAAATGGTGTATTTTTTTATGTTTTAGTATTTTTTTGTTTTAAAAAATATTTCATAAACATTTGGTAAAGGATCCAATTGAATAGAAAATGTATTAATTGTTTTTTAAATTTCTTTTGTTCTGATTATAGAATAATTGATTTGTTTATATTTTTCTTTTTTCTTTAAATTTGTTTGTTTTTTTTTTTTAATAAATTTTCAATCAAATAAAAAAAAGAAATATGTATTTAATATTTTAAAATTCTAATTGAGAATAACTACAATAACACTCTAATTTACTTTATAGCTACTATATATTTAGCTACTATATAAAATTAATAAAATGCGTTAATAAAAGAAAAATTGTGATTTTAAATTTACTAATTCTATAAATTTCAAACTACAAAATTTTTTTTAATGCTTATATATAGATAAGAATGTTCATAAAAATAAAAAAAAAGAAAGAAACTGAAAACAAAATAAAAATTTACTTATACTAAATGCTTTTATCAATCATGCAATTGCGCTATATATACTTACTACTTTTTTTTTTGTTGTTATAAAATTTCAAAATAAAGAAAAAAATTAAAAATGTTATGAAATAAATTTAAATTATATTTGATAAGAAAAAATTTTAAACGAATATTGAAATTAATTATTTTTATAATGATTTTGCGAAAAAAAATGTTATATATTTAACAAGGCTTATATAAGATTAAAAATAAGAATTTTTCATTCCATTCTAATTAATTATAATATAGAGGCATGTATATATTTATGATATTGAATAAAAATAGATATTAAAAATTTCATTCCATTTATAATTAAAATATATAGTGGGATATACGATATTGAGAGGATATTATTATAAATGAATTATATTACGCTCTTATAAAGAATGCATGGACAAAATTATATAGCTCAATAAACTTAATTTTGTTTTATTAATAATGTATTTGTATATTTTTTAATTATAATAAAAACTAGTAAAATAATTGACAAATGTTTTTGATACATTACATTTTGAAATTTTAAAAAAAATTTAATTCAAACAGAATAATATAATCACGTAATACCAATTTATTTTAAATCTCATTATACTCGTATTGCTTATGTTTTTTAACTATATTCGTATTAAGTGACATGAACACAAATTTTTCGTAACATAACACCGACAATATTTCATTAAAATGTTAATTGCTTTTCGAAATTTTGTAAATTTAGTCTTATATAAATTTAACTGTATATTATATTAATTAATATTATTTGCAACTATATTAACATGTATCTAAGGTCGAAATTGATCTACAGTTAAGACCGTAATGCATCAATAACATTTTAGAAAAGTTTTTATTATAAAAGGTTAAAAAATACAAAACCAATTTTTATATTGTATCGTATAATTCTTATTGTATATGAAAGCTATGTTATAAGTACAAATTAAATTTTCCGAAAACTTTAAAAATAATTTTTTGTCTGAAAAAAAAAAATTAAACAAAATTTATTATTGAAAAAAAAAACAAAAGGAACAAATTCATATTTATTGAGCTTATTCTGTTTTTGATCAAATTAAATGTTATATTTGTCGATTTTGTGAATTCGAAAGAAACAAATTAATTATATTTAAGTGGAAATATTCAATTTCTAATAAAATTATTGTTTTTTATATTATAAGAGTTGAAAAAAAAATCTTAAAGTATATAAAGGAATAAAATTTAAATTAAAACCTCTCTTTCCCTCATATGCATATTCAAATATAAAATATATATAATTCATATTTGATTTTTATATTCAAAAAAAAAAAAAAAGTTAATAATTTTAATTTTGATTTTTTCAAGATAAAATTTTTTTTTAGCCAATTTTTTTTTTTAAATATATATAATTATAAAAATAAAATTTAAAAATTCTTTTTTTTTTTAAAGTTAAACATTTAACCCTTTGAAATCCTTTGGTGACCAGTTTTTTATTTTTTTTACCAGAAATTACACAGCATCAGCAAAAAAGGGATGAGTCAGGCACATTTAGTTATAATTTATTATTAAAAATATTTTTTTTTTTGTTTTATTGCTAAAATAATTTTTCTTTTTCTAATTAAAAAAAAAATATACGAAATAAAAAACAAAAACTTATTAAAAATCTGTAATCAGAAATAAATTAAGAAAAAATATTCAAGGGTTTTTTTTTTGTTGTTTATTATGAAAAATTTAATAAAAAAAATATTATTTAATTTGTAATTATGATTTTTTTTTTAATTTTCTCAAATATTAATTAGATTTAAAATAATTAACCCTCGGTTTTTTTTGCAAATTAAACTGAAATGTATATATACATATATATATATATTAATATGTATATATATACATGTTATAAGAAACAAAAAATAATAATTTCAATATGTATATACAAAAAAATAAAAAAAAATATGATATTAAAAATGAAAAATTCGCAAAACAAAATTAATTGCATATTTATATTGCCTAAATTTGAATTTCAAAAAAATAATATATTATATTATAAAATTATATTTTTTTTATTTTGCTTGGAATTTTATTTATTATATTAATGCCCATTTTAATAGCAAGTAGTCATCGCCATGTAGACTGCTCCATTTAGGGCACAAAATAATTATAAATTAATTTTATTAATTAATCAATTCAATTTACATTGTTTACAAATGCCATGAAGGGATTTGAAAGGACTTTAAAAAATTTTTATTAAATAGTTTTCAAAAAAATTAGAAATTTACACACTATTGTTAGGAATTGACATTGACTAACAATTTTTGTTGCATACGTATATATATATATATATATGTGTATTAGCAAAGAGTATACATATGAACAGATATAAAATTAATATAAGAAAATTAATGATTTTGAAATGTATGTACGATGTACAAACTAATATTTATGTCAAACTCTATAAAACTTTTATATTATTTTTTGAAATTCACTTGTTGTATAATCAAAAACTAAAAATAAACAAAATATATATGTATATGCAAAAAATTTAAGAAACTAAAGAAACTTATAATTTAATATACCTTTTTACATACAAAACTATAAACTGTTAAATTATAAAATAATATTCCAAAAAAATAAATTAATTTCGTATTACTTTAAAGCTTTTAAATCAACATAAAAACTTTAAATATTCATTTTTTTAATAAATTATTGTAGCAATAAAATTTATATAAGCAAAAAAGTTTTTCATTAAAAACATATCAAACAATTTCTTTCTTTACAGAACAAAAAAAAAAATTTAATATGTATAAATAAGTAAAATAAATAAAATTCAAAACAAACATCATATATTAAGAGATTTTCATAAACGCAATACTATGAAAATTAATAAGTTCGAAAAGTAATACTTCGAAAACATAACGTGAGAAATATGCAATATTTTTTAACTATTCAATATGATCAAATTTTCGTATGATATAACTGTCGCTCTCTCTACGAATTTCGGTACATTACGAAAAATTAATCTTGTTTAACGCTAAAATTATGTAAGCAATATTTATTAACACAAATATAGCCCTGTTTTTGCTATATATTGCGATATATTGCGCTTATGAAAAGGTCTTATATATATTATAACAAGAAATAAATGCATATAATAAAAAAAAAATCATAAATTTTTGAATTATAAAACATTTAAAAAAACAAAAATTAAAAACAAAATAAATGCAAGCATTTTGAAATTTTCATTTTTTTTTAATACAATAAAAAATATAAACCAAAACACACAAAAAAAAAGAAACAGGAACAAAAAATAAACGAACAATACAGTTAAAATATATATATATATATAAAAACATATAATTATGTAAGTATATTTAGAATATTTATTATATAAGTAGCATAATAAACAAATTCAATATTCCATTCAAATAATATTTTGAATCAAAATTAAAAATATTTGAATTTTTACTTTTATCTTATTTTTTTTGCTAGTACTAAATTTACTCTCTAACATAAAATATTTAAATATTTTTAAATCATATTTCAATCTCATAAAGTACGTTACAATCTCATAAAGTACCTAGACCCGATCGTCTTTCTCGCTATTTTACTCAGCAAATGAGAAGAAAGTGAGCAACTATCATGTATTTGTATAATATATTTTTTGAGTTACTCCGTAGAATTACTCCATATTGTTTATTCATTTTATTCTAAAAAAATGACTAATCTTATTGGAAATATGAAATATTCATTAGAAAAACGGATAATTCTCATTAGAAAGTAAATAAAAAGAGACTAGAGAGTAAAAAAGTGAGTATAGATAAAATTGAATATAGATAAAATAAATAACTATAAGATTATAACGGTTTCCTAGAAAATGAAGGTATCATTAAATGTGTATTGCAAATTGTAATACACTATAAAAATATGAATAAAATACAAATTTTAAATTTTTTTCATATTTTTGAAACTATTATGATCAATAAAATTAAAATATGTTAGTAGGAGAGGAAAACAAAAGAGCATATTATATATTCAATTCCGTCCTTTTTACCGTCCGCATTGCATGCAATAAAGGAGGTAATTTTTAGTTGATTTCTTATCGATTTTACTTTCAACGAGAGTGAATCTTATTGAATTTATATTAAAACATCAAAAAAAATAAACTGAACCTTAGTTTTCTGTTAAGAAAAATTTTCTGTATGTATTTGGTTCATTTTCAAACTCATATAGATCTAGAGTAAGTATTTGAAATTCTTATTTAAAATTTTGATTCAATATATTTTTACTGTTACATTTCATAAATAAATAAATAATGATTTTGAAAAAAACAAGCTTAAAAACAAACTATTTGAATTTTCTTCTTTTTTTTTTGTTTCATACAACTTTACTATTGGAAATTTGATTTTTTTTATATATAAAGTATTAATTATATATTTTGTTTTTAAATATAAAATTAATATGTTATTTAAAAAGTATTCAATACGAAAAACCAAAACTGAAACACAAAATGAATAAAGAGAGGAGAAAAAAAAAGAAAAATTAAATAGTAAAATTGTGTCAGGAGGAGTTATTAATCTCTTCCTTGAATTCGGTATTTAGTTTGTAGTATTATTGTATTAAAAATAATATAAATGACATAAATGAAATAAATAAAATAAAAAATATATATATTTTAATACGAAATATTGTATAAGATAAGATAAAAGAAAAAAAATTAAATTAAATTAAAATAAAGTTTTTTTTTTTGTAACCAAGTATATTTTATAATAATTTTTTGAACATTAAAGCAACTATATATATTTATATATATAGAATAATAACAGTATGTAAAACATTTGAATTAAAAAACAAAAACACATACAAACGCATACTAATTTGAATATTTTAATTTACCTCCCCGATCGCTTGTTCGACTCTGCCGACCAGCGGCTTGTTCTATAATATCATTTAATACCATAACATCTAAAAAATAAAAATAATAAATATTATTTTTAATATAAAACATATGTATATAATATGTGCAATAAAACTAATTACCTTTCATGTCGACTACTGTTTGCGTTTGGACGGGCTCAATAAAAGGATTGTCGGGTTGTTTAACTTTACCAGCTTCATCTGTACAGTCTGTTGATGGGTCCTAAAAATTATTATTAATATAAAAATATTATTTTTAACTTAATTTTAACTCAAAGATTTTATGTAGTTATATATATAAAAATAATTTTATATTTTTGTTATATATACTTATATAGTGCGTTAAATTTGTGCTTTGAAGACGAAAATGTTATAATGTTTTTGTTTTTAACTTACATAATATCACTTAGCAAAGCTCATTTTAAATTAATTCCTACACATTTTTTTTTCATATATTGTACATAAACGTACGTATATATATATTTATATAATCATATATTAATAAATTTAATATTAAATACCACATTCTATATAACATATCTTCTATCATGTGGTACTTAATCAGTGTGTTCATTATACCATTTATATTATACAATTATAAATAATATTTATTAATATTTTGTATTGCATTTAAGATTAAATTTATTTATTTGTTTATTTATTTATTATTTTTTTTTATAAATATATTATGTTAATGAGAAAAAACAAAATAAACTATATATGAATAAACATTGAAGAAACAAACTTACATAATCACGATGGCCCGAAAATTTATTGTCTACATAACAGCTGGTTCCATTCGATGGTGCTATAGATTGGTTTCTACGCGATCTATTCATTAATTTACTTTCTTTAGTCATACCGCCTAATAAGTCACCATGGGATGTATATGATATTCTAGATTGATGCGAGGTATAAGAGGAATGACGTGATCCTATTTTTTTAATTTTTTTTGATATTATTTTTATTTTATAAATTGAAACAGAAAAGAAAAAGAAAAACGCATTATAAATCTTGTATTTATATACATGAACAGACTACCTAGGTTTCCATAGTATACGGGAACTATTATCGCGCCATTCTCTTCAGACATTGGTGTTACTGCATTTGAATCATCTGCATATGGTAGATGTTCTTGTGCATCCAGATATGTTGATAAAACTAACGGCTTACGATCACTACCTGGAACACCGAATCGTCCACGACCGTTTCGTATCGTAAACTGAAATTTACGAGAAAAATTTTTGTAATAATTTTGTATTGATACGGATTATGTACATATATTATAATGTTATATTCATTTAAAATGTAATATAGAAATTCGATTGAAAATTTCAATATTAATCTAAATTTTTTAATTATAACAATTTTAAAAATTAATTTTATCAAGTACGTAAAATATAAAAAGAAATTGTTTAGTAAAATAATAAAAATATTACTGTTCTCTTAATTAATTTGATATAAATATTTAAAATTAAAATATAGTAATAAACGGAAAATTTTAATTGTTTTAAAGTGGAAACCCGTATACTCATTTAACTAAAGACTCTATGACTTTACTCGTGTCTAATGATGAACATTTATGTTGTGATACTGAAATTATCCGTGAAAAAATTATTTGAACTTCGAATATGTACAAACATATAGGGTATAGCATTTATAAGAATAACATATTATATATTTATCCAATTAAAAAAGTATATTTATATTAAATTCCCATTCTCCTTTTGTATATGACCGCTTAAATATTATATTCTATTTAAAATGGAACTTATTCAATTGTAGAACTTTTAAACAATAAACATTTTTCGTACTTGATTTATTTTCCTTTTAATTAATAATTCAAATAAGAAAAATTCAAGAAATAAAATTTGGATATAACATAAAAAAAAGATATACCTGATGTGAACCACGTGATCCTCTTCGAGGATTAAAAGGTGATCCAGGTAAAGATAGAGAAGCCTATTCATGAAAAAAAAAAAACAAAATAGTGAAAGAGAGAAAGAGAGAGAAGAAAAAAAAATCATTTGTTTTGTTCATATAATCTTGTCTTTTTGTTTTGTAATTAAGTTTTTACCAATTAATTCTGGTTTTAATATCAATTAATACCAAAAAAAAAAAAACTATATTTTTCATTCATTAAATATTAATTTTAAATTATCATTAATACTCGTATAAAAATTTTTTTTTTCTCAAATATCATTTTTTTTTTCAAAAATTATTTTTAAAGCCAAATTCATTAAATTGAATGTAAATATTATTTTGCCCATTAATTATAATTATTGACTTTGATTTTATTAAGGTATTTGTAAAAATTTAGACAAAAATTGTTTTAAATTAATAAAGTTAAAGAACTTTATTTTTCAAAATCAATATTATATGGTTTAGTTTTTTTTTTTATTATAATAATTATATGGTAATTAATTCAATGTAATTCAATTAAATTTAATATATATAATTAAAAAAAAAAATTATCTAATTTTATTATGCTGCTGCTGCTAGGGGAAATTTGGGATTTTAAAAATTTTTAAAAGACCTACCTTTTTATATTCGTTGGAGCCAAATTTTTGAAGTTTTTACATATTTTTAATTATTTAAAGATGGTATAATTTTTTCATATATTATTATACATATTAATTTTCAAGTTATATTATATATTTTGAAAATCTATGTATTTAATAAATAATGTTATATTATTTTGAATATTAATTCAATTCTCAAAACTTCAAAATTTTGTAATGCTCGGACCTCACTCATAAAATTCTCTATTTTAAAACAATTTCTACTTATAAAGATATTACAATTATATCTATATAATTATATACGGAAATATTATCTCTAAAGATGATGCAATACAAATAAGTATATGTATATATATATATAGATAAACTTTATTTCAAATAAAATTGATGAATAAATGAAAAATAAATATGTATGTATAATATTATTGTTTCTTTTCCGAAATATTTTTAAAATACATAACTAAGTATAATAATATAATTTTGATATATTTTCAATTTTTAGAATAAAAATTATATAAAATGTATGTATTTTTATAGAAATTATAATAAAAATCTGAGAAAAAGGAAAATAAAAACAAAAAAAAAAAAATTTTTTTTTTGTTATTTTACTACTTTTTCAATAAAGTTTTTGAAATAAAGTTTTGAGCATTCAAGAAAAAATAAATTTTAATTTCATCAAAATTCAAAACCAAATTTTTTGTATGTATATATATAATATAAAAATGAGTATGTACTTAAATATGTATAAAGAATAAAAACTTGCACTTAAATTTAAATACTCTTTTTCTATTGATTAGAATAATAGGTTATCAATAAATTCAACAAATTTCAAACATATTGTTCAAGAAAGAAAGAAATTTTTCATTTATATACAATATTTTCTATATAAGTGTTAAGAGATATAGATACTTATAATGTTCTATGTATATACGAAATTATCTACGTAAAAATATAATAGAAATAAATTTAATAAAAAAAAAAAAATTAATGGGAGGGTAAAACAGTCAAAATAATGATAAATTATATAAAATGTTTTATTTTTGAATTTTAATAATAATAATGATATTGAAGATAAACTAAAATGCTATTGATTTTTATGCTAACGATCCTTTTATATATATCGTAATGTTAAGAAATAAATTTAACATAACAGCAACAGCACCAATTTTTTTTTTGTTTCCTAGCTGTAGGTGTACACAAAATACAGCCATATGTTTATTCATACAATATTTCGCATAATTTAAATAAGATATAGATATAAATTGTTGCTAAAAATTTGAGTAAAGATCAAAGAAACTAAATTTAGCTGACCAATTGATACTCGTAGAAATATAAGTTTTTTGAATTTTATAAGTTTCATGAATTTAATTGAATAAATAATCATTAAAGAATTTCATGTACTATCAAATAATTTTAATGTAATAAAATATAATATCAACTAGTAAAATGATGACCTAATCAATATTTATATTGAATTTTCAAAATTAAATTTTGTTAAAATTATTATATTGATGTTTTCTTTTCTCTTGATCTTAATTACTAATTTCTAGATCACTAATTATATTTTTAATTAAATTTTTCCTATTTTATTTAAATAATTGAATAGAATGTTAATTAAAATTATTTTTTTTTTTCATTTTTTATTCTTATTATGTTTTCATGATTATAATGAAGAATTCCACAAATATTTGTTACAGCTGAAATATTAATAATAAATATAGTTTAGGTTTACTAGATCTTCAAACTTTCGGCAAAATTTAGTAATATTTACAGTAAATGGCAAAGTTGTTGAATATAGATTATATCATTTCGTATTAAAAGAATTTTTGCGAGGTTTTAAATTTAAACTTTGTTTTTTATTTCTCGGTTTTTTAGTCAAAAACTATAAAACAAATTCGATATCCAATTTTCTTTTAATTTTAATTATGAAATATTGCATATTAAACAATAACATTTGCATTTAAATATTATAGAATATTAATTATATACATACAAAAAATTTTGATTTTGTATTATTTAGTTGAAATTCGAAATAAATTTTATAGCATAGATTCTTATTACTGAAGAATTTAATCAAAACAATATTTCGTATAAAAACTATATTTGTATTTAAAAATAAATTCGGATATTTTTATAAATCTTATATAAATTAAATATTGTTTAATTTTTTGTTATATTAACTTTGAAAAAAAAAAAATTGTTGCTTTGCCAAATGGTATAATGTAATGTTTTTTTTTTATTTAAATACGTAGTGAAAAAAATCAATTGGTAATACAAATTGAAAATGGAAAGCATTAAAAAATGTTGATCACTATGTGAAATATTTAGTGTAATTTATAAATTAAAACGTGTATAAAAAATGCAACGAAATCTCAATTTTCTATTTTTAAATAATCTAACATTTCTAATTGAAATAGTTATTTACGGAAAAAGAGAATGTTTTCGCTTTTTTTTTGTAAAAGCGAAAATTTTTTTTGTGAAAGTAAAAAAAATTTTACAAAATTCAAAACCTTGTATTTATTTGTATCTTTTAAATAACTTTCAAGATATTTTATTTTAACGTAAAATTCAATGTTATCAGCATCATTTTAGATAATACATTACTTTGTTTGTAAAATCTCGTTTTTCAATATGTTAAAAAAAATCGGAAAACAAAAGAATTTTTCTGCGTCCGAATGGCAAACAATAAAAGGGTTGTTATTAGTTATAATAACTTTTATTAATTACAACTGAAAAATATATGAAAAAATTGAAAGTAACGAATTTTGAATGTATATTTAATTCTCTTGAAATATTTCTTTAAATGGTTTGAAAAATTTATTGGAATTCCCGCCATTTAATTACATATTTATAATAACTCCGAAATGATTTTAATTTTGCAAAACCTTACAATTATTTTAATTCAATACCAATATCCCTTAAAAATGACATTATTACAATAAAGTTGGATCAAACTAATGGTTTGTAAAAAATAACTTTTTTCCCTAAAACAAGTAAAAGTTATTCTATTATATTTTAAACTACTTTCATACATATACAAAATATTTCAAATGATTGCATATATCTAGGATGAGAAAAAAAAAAAATTAATGAGGCGTTAACATATGGGACGAATTCAATGGTTAATTGCGTGAGTTAATACAAATTATTAATATTTTTTGATGGCATGGCTTATATCATTTGATTTCACTATTTATAGATATTTAAGAAGCTTGCAGTTTAATAATTTTTTAATTCACATTTTAGTGGTGGAAAAAAATTTTCTTTTAACAAAGAAAAAGCATTTTTAAAAAGCTGTTAAAATTTTAAACTTCTGTAAATTATCGTCATGAACAAAAACGATAACATTGGAAAAGAAATGGATGTTAGGCATAGGTTAATTTCAAGTGCCATTTTGTCTTTTCTATGCTTATCTATTCTATACGGCGATAATAGAAACCACTACTTTTCTGTATCTGCTAAATTTTAGAAATGTTTATGCTTTCGTTACAATAAATAGTTAAAAAGAGCAATTTTAGAATCTTGAGTGAATATAACTTTTAGAGAGGGAGAGATAGGTAAAAATTAAATATACTTAATTTATACAGAAATTAGTTTTTAGTAAAGATTTATTCATTTGTAAAATTTCAGCTTTCTATCTCAGAGGGTGTAGAAGTTTTTAGAGGACGGACGGATGGGCAGACAAAGTAAACTTAATACATATTTTTTTCAAATGTTTTTGGAAAATTGTTAAAAATGGGTTAAATCGTTGCAGTGCATAGCTGTCTGAAATTCTTCAACTATTTATTTTATAAAAAAAAGGACTTTTTTGGAACTAATACATTTTTTTTTCATTATAATATTATTGTGATTAAAGGCAGGCGCGTGTTACTAATTTTAAAATATTTGCAAAAATATTCTATTTATTTTTTGTTATTTTTAACTGTCCTTTACAAAAAAAAAAAATTAACAATTTTAATAAAATTACATACTAAAATAAGTATGCAAAATATTGATTTTTTTTTCGGCTTTAAAAATAATCTTTTTGTTCTAAATAAGCTGCAAAAATTTGTTGGCTGTTTTAAGTAAATCAAAAATAAAATAATATGTATTTATTTTTGTTAACAGAAAAAAAAACCCAAAAAAAAAAAACATTTATGTTGAAATCTTGCAAAAATGTAAAAAAATATTAAAAAATAAAACAAGTAGAAAAGTTTTGTAAGTAGCAATAATGAAAATTAAAAAAGAAAAACTGTATTACATGTAGGTAGGTACTAAATTGTCATACTAAAACTATGAAAAAATAAAATAAAAAGTTAGTAAGGATATGAAGTCAAAGTTAGTACAAATGTATGTATATCATATATATACATTTTCACATTTACATATGAATATGAATTTTAAAGGTTAAAATCAATATTTTGTTGAAAAATATGGAGCAGATACGTAATTTGTGTTTTTATATCTTGTATGTATGTTTATTTAACCGAATTTTTTCAATAATAATAACGCTTTGGACATAATCAACCGTTGTGAGTAGATACATATTGAATAACATGTTTGACGGTCGGTATAGACCTTATTAATAAAACAAGTTATTAGTTATTATTTGTCTCGATCACTTTAATTCACCTATAGAGTTTCTTAATTGGGTCTCATATATTCTTTGAACTTACATAAACATATGTACATAATATTATTTGTGTAATAATTTAAAAGGCAAATTATAGCTAAAAGAAGTTACGGACTTCTATGGACGTATATTAGACAGAAAACATGTACTATACTAGTAGGTGTATAATGCTATAAAAAATTTTGTTCGCAATGAGGTATTCCATGAGAATATTTTGAGAAAAAAGAAATTTAGAAAATATTATTTAATTGCCAGTAAATGTTTTATAGTAAAAATTCTGTCGGACAGCATTGGCATTTGAAAAACGTGGTGTCATCGGGAGTTGATTTTGTTTGAAGACAAAAAGAACTCCACATAAAACATTTCCCCGATGGGAAATTTTTAGACTAAAAAACAAGAGGTGGATAGCAGGAGCCAGGAGTATTTCTTTTGAAAAAATACAAAGGCAGATTTTAATATTAGAGCTTGAGAAACACAATAAGTGCACAATTTTTATTTTGATTACATCCATAAATAACTTTATACAACTTTACCAAAAAGTGACGAACATACAGGTTATGCTTGATTTTGACATGAAGTCGAAAATGTATTGCTACAAAGTTTCGATGTTTTGTTTTCAATTAATATGAAAGACAAGGAATTTCCGGCTGCAGTATTTTTTAAATAAGAGAAGCCAAAAATATAATCTTTGAATAAAAGAAGGATGAAATATGTTTTAAGTTTTTCAAATTTGTTCTTGTAATATTAAAATCTCTTCATATATGTTTCATTATAAATGAAAGTATATCAAGTATGTATGAGCATAATAAACATTTTGTTTGAATTTCCCGTTAAAACATCGGAAATCTCATGGTATTTCATTAATTCATTAATTAAGGTGGTAAAATGAAATTAATATAAAATATGTATGTATTAACAAACGATTTTCAAAAAAGGATATGTATGTATCATCTACCAGGTATACAAATAGATTAGAAACTAAAATACATAGTTCAAAACATGCTTTGTATATTTTTTTAATTACTATGTTTTTGCTTTATCTAAACCTGTGTAGAATTATTTAATTTTTTCTCCCTTTTTGAATTTGGTTAAAAAAAAGTTTTGATTTCGGTTATAAAATTCCTTCCTTTTCATAGTTTTAATAAATTAAAAACTAGTAAACTCAAAACATAAAGTATACCGTTAATTAAACAAAAACATAAAAAATCAAAAAATCAATAGGCATTTTCAATTTAATTTGCATTTTTCAAATTTTTAAAATAAAAATTTTTGTGGAAATCGAAAGCAATTAAAGATAGAGCAGCATAAGTACATTTATATTTGAAAGATAGTTAATATTTAGTATGTTTTATAAGAAGAGTGATATAAAAAATTAATTAAAAAAATTTTTCTTGATATCAGGACATATCACTGACATACATACATACATATGCATATATATGCAAAAACATACATACATACGTATTGGAAAGAAAAAAAAGAAACAAAACATTCTTGAACGAATCTCATTTTATTTACACAAAAATTAATAAAAAATTAATAATGAAAGTTTGAAACAAAAAATTAAAAAAAAAATCTTTAAAATTAAATGAAACATTATTAAATATTAACAAAATAACGGTATATGTATAAGAGAAAAAAAAAACTAAAATACAAACATAATCGAATAGAATGAACAACAGAACAAAAAGAAAACATGACACATTAACACATAGCCCGGTCATACTTACCGTACTGACTTTACGGACCTTAGTTGCGGATGGATAAGCTGTAGGTGCGGTTGGTCTTTGCATTTCGCTCACCGACTCCAATCCTTCGCTACGGATGGACATTTTCTCCTTGTTGTTGTCATCGTTGCCCTTTTCCTGTCCAACGAATAGCTCATAACTGTGACACGAAAAATCAGATGGACTTTTTACCATTTCAGCATGTTGTGATGCCTCGGCAGCCGCAGCAGCAGCCGCTGCTCTGTCCTCCAGTTTTGCAGCTTTTGCGGCAGCAGCCTCTTCAGCCTCCTAACATTATTTGATTTTAATAAAGTAAAAAATTAAAAATTTAATAAATTAATACTAAGTAATGGTATAAACACGAAAGTTGATTTTTTCTAGGGACATATAAAACTATACGAAATTTGTCTATTTAAATCAAATCCATTTAATAAGAAGAAGGGACATTTAAGTAAAAAAATATAAAGTACGGGAAATATTATTACATACGAGAAGAGAATATCCTTGAGTGAAACTAATAGGAGCTCTATACATGAAAAACTCTAGAACTTCGGTTAATTAAAAATTTTAATATTTTTAAGACTATTATTTTTTGACAGCATTTTCACTTCTGTCTATAGTGTTTAGTTTAATACAGCGAGGATTATATTTTCTTCTTAAAATGTTCCCATTAAATTAACCATGGTTTGATTTTATCTAAACAAATTTCGTATAAAAATGTTTCTATATGTCGAATTATAAAAAATAGTATATTTTTACTCTAATAGCTTCTTCTTCGGCAGCTTCTTCTTCTTCAGCTTTCTTTTGTAATTCATCGTATGACATGGCGACAATAGCCAATATCAAGTTAACGAGATAGAATGAGCCTAAGAATATAATTACAATAAAAAATAACATATGCCATGGGCCAGCTGATCGTAAAACTAATTGATATAAATTTTCCCAATAATCTTGTGTCATAAGGCGAAAGGCTGATAAAAATGCCCAACCAAAGGAATCAAAACTAGTATAACCATAATCTGGATTATCTCCATAACCTTGCAAACATACATAATCTTCTCCACATGTACTGTAAAAATATAAAGTAAAAATTTAAATATTATTACCTCGATTTTGCATATTAATATTGACTTAACATACGGCAAAATAAATTGAAATTTTTAAGTAAATCTAAATTTTACTTTAATTGTGATGCTTTACTCACCCAGCACCTGATGAATTACCACATAATGGTATATTGCCATCTTTATTTACAAACCAATGACTTTCATTTCTGCAAAACATTTCCCAATTTTCATCGGTAAGATTACCCCATGAACCGTCAAGGGGAAATCTTAAAACGCACTTTTGTGTTAAAACACCCATATAAATTTGAAGGCCCATCAGAGCGAACACTGATAATGAAAACATTGTTAAAATTATCACATCGCGCAGATTTTTAACTGATTCTATGACAGCACCAACGATGGTTTTTAAGCCTAAAATTTAAAAATAAAGATTAATATAATTAATTGTATTATGTACATTATATATATACATGTATATATATATATTGAAACTAATTTTATATTGATAAATTTTATAAATTATACATACCTGGAACAATAGCTACCGTTTTGAGAGCTCGCAGCACTCTGAACGTTCTTAAGGCCGCGAGATTACCCAAATCTATACCCATGGTCACATAGCTATATATGAATAAAAATAATAACGAATTATATATGTATAATTTATATTGAAAATATTTTATCATAAAAATAAAATTTATTAATTAAATACATAATATTTTTAGATACCAAATATATTTTCAACAATGTGAATTGCTTGAAGCATTGATAGTTTTACAAAATTCCTAAAAATTTGAATTTATTTAATTTTTTTTCCCAATTCTGATTCTCAGTTCGAAAATATTTAAGAATTTTTGTCAAAAATGACATAATTTGACAAACAAAATTAAAATAATAAATAGTTCACTTTTTAATATTACTTGATCTTAAAATTTTAAAAATTTTTTAAAGTCTCATTAAGGTACAGACGTGTAGTTTAGTTTTGTGTACACATTATTATAAAATAATTGAAATACACAAATGTTAGATATTTAGTTCCTTGTTAATTATTAATTCATTTATAGATAATTAATATATAAATATTTAAGTGCATAAAAGCGAATATACACTAACCATTAAGAAAAAAAGCCGCAAGACATTTTTTTCAATAACTTTAATTTTATGGTAGTAAATAAGTAAAAGATTATAAAACGTAAGAAATCCCCCTTCATCTCCCCCTTTCCTCTATTTCTCATCATTTCTCTGTCCCTCCATCTCTCCATCATTCTCTCTCTTTTCCGTCTCCCGATTTCTCTCTTTCTCTCCTATTGCATGTAAGTTATATTCTAAAAATGAATTTTAACGGCAACTATCAGATCTTATCTTATTGAATTCTTATTATCATACAATAGTGTTAAAATATTGCACTAACATCGCGAACTGATCTGTATATAAAATTTGGAGAAGTTTGGACATTTAGAAGTAACCGAAAATTGAATTACAAAATTTGACCGCAATAATCCCTGCTCCGTTTAAGAAAAAAAAAACTTGTACTTTTTGGCATGATTGCGAATTATTTTGAATATATAGGTCTGTAATTTTACTTATGTGTATATATATATTTTACATATATATATTATACAACCACTTACAGAAACCATAACTTTTTTGAGGTGGATTTCCTCGTTCTTGTCAGTAAGTTTATGTAATTGAATATTTTATAAGTGAATGTTGTGAAATTGATATTTTCAAGACCTTGATCAATTATTAAAATTTTTGTTCGAACATAAATGCAACCAAATATATTAAATATAAGAAAGGGATGAGATTTACTTGAGTAAAAGTAATAATTTAATAAAACAATACAAATTGTATGTCAAAATAAGTACAAATAATGAAGAGACTTCATTATCCTAGATAACACGCGTTAAAATAATATATGTTTTGTCCTTAAATTTATTGATTTTCTTTTAAATTTCTTTTTGCATTTTCATTTATCTTATATTTTATCATTTTTACTTTGCGGCTTTTCGTTTTTATTATATTTTATGTTTCTATTTGTACTAAGTTGCTCCATATATCAATATTTCTTTAATAAACAAACATAAAAATGACATTCAAATAATAATCCGAAATAAATATACTCAATATATGTATTTGTATGTCAAAAGTAATATACATAAATATTTAAAATAATCCTTATTATACACACATGTACCACTAATGCATTTATTTATATATGTATGCATAAATATAGAAATTTTATTCATAGAATATTTATTTTTGATTGTATTTCTTATATAAAAATTACTTAAGGTGGCAAATTTTATACAAATTTATAATTTTATGCATATATGAATGTGTATATTAAATATATACATATATGTTCATATGTGTGTGAATACGTAAATAAATGTATTATGGTAGGGACATCGTTTTGAAAGATTTAGTCTTGTTTGTTAACTTAAAAAAAAAAATAACAAAATTTTAAAATTAATTTATTTAAATTTTTAACAATACGACTGACATTATGCAGGAAAATTTTGTTGATTCTAAATGAAATTTTGCAAAAATTTTAATTAAGAAAGAACGTAAAAATGTTTTCTAAAAAAAAAAATAAACTAGGATCAATGAATCTACAATTCATAAGTATGTATATACGAATAACAAAATTACTACATGATATCAACTACTCGTACTATAAAATATTTCTTTCGACAGTTCTCTCTTTTCTGTAAGAGAAATTTAATTTCAAAAATGAAAATTTATAAATTCTCTATGTAACAATATTTACTTTAGGCTTTTTAAAAAATATTTTTTTTATTGCTATATAAAACCTCTATATATATAATATATCATGCTATATATACTCAGCAATAATATTATTTTAAATTGTTAAAAAAAAATTTGAATTGCCATTAAATTATCACATATCTAAGTTATTAAAAAAAAAAAACAAAAATGAACAGGTTCTTAAAATTGATGAATCATAATTTCATTTCAAATTATTTACAATTAGAATTTAAAAATGGAAATTAATTTTAAAAGAATATTGAAAAACGTTTTCTATATATATTAGAAAATATTTAGAAGTGGTGTAAGGAGCAAAAATGAAGGAAAAAACCACTGTATATCTAATCTTCGTTTACAAATTGTCTATCTGGGCAATATTACTTAAAAAAAAAAACAGTAACAAAACGCAAATAAGAATAATAAAGGATAATGGCAACAAAATGTAGGTATATATTTTTACTTGCCTGCTACCTATAAGGACATTCATATGTATATAAAAAGTATACAAAAAAAAAATTCTTTCTTATTTTACAACTTATTAATTATTTCTGTTTTTATATTTTTTCCTTTCGTTTTATTTTCCTGACTTTCGTTTTTGTTTTTCATTTCTGTTTTATTTTTTTTTTTTTGAATTTAATACCTTAAGTTATAGATTTCTATACATACATACCATATACAATATATACCTAACCACTTTCAACCTACACACACTATATATTATGAAAAGAAAAATAATAAAGATCCTTGTATCTTAAAAAAATTTTCAAAGAGACATTTTTTTTACATAGTAGGTACTTTGATACTTGAATTTTTAATCCTGACCTGCATTCAAGTGACATTGAGTTTTATTTCTCTTTTCATTTTATATTTGCTTTTTCGTTTTTTTTTTTTTGTTCTGCTTGCTGTTCATTGAAAAATTAAAATAGTCTTAGTTTAAAAAAGGACGAAAAAAAGAAACAAAAATGTTATTACAACAAATTTAGTATTATTGTTTTTTTTTTCTTCTCTCTAATATGACATTGTCCTTGCTTTTCGATCTTAAAGATGTAAAAATTATAACCTATATTACCTTAGCATATTTGAAAAAAAAAAACAAACAGAAAAAGAAAAATCTAGGTGAAGATATTCTTCAGTCTTTCGTCTTGTCACAGTCATGTAATTTAGTGTATGGTCAAGTTCATTTCTCATCTTGAGAAATAACAAAAAAAAAGTAAAATAAATTAATAACAAGAAGACAAGATTTGTTAATGAAATAACAAAATTTTTATCCTTAATTTGTTTTTTAAAGGACTCTAAATTTCAATTTCAAAAAGAAAAAAAAAGTGAAAAATAATAGGTTTTTTATGATTTTTATTTTTGATAATTAAACTTATGATAATTTATTTGGTTTTTTTTTTATATTTACTTTTATATGACAACTACTAATTGTGCAGCCTAATAGTGTATCTCGGTTTTTCATCTCACATTTTATTCACTTTCAAATCAGGATTTTCCGTTTTTCTAATGGACATTTAATTTTTTCAATAAGATTACCCATTTTTTCAATTGGATTTTTCTATTTTTTCTTAAATTATCGACTGAACGTCTCACAAAGTAAATAAATTTTGTTTACATTTTAGAAAAAAACGAAATACGCAATACGGAATAATTCTTCTCTCATATATTTGTATAATGTAATAGGTTCTCACTTTCTTCTCAGTTAGCGAATAAAATAGCGAGATACACGATCAGTCTCTTAATTCTAATATAATATTTTCTCTCATATAAATTAGAATTCTCATTTCTTAATTAGAGACCTAATAATATTACATGTCATATCTCCAATAATATTAAATTCTCATTTTTTTAAATAGCATTTCTCGACTTTTTTTCTTAATATATTTTCTGAACCAGTTTATTTTGTAGACTTGTCACTTAATAATTTAAATTATAGTATTGTCACACAACGTAGCTTCTACCTTTGTAGAATGTAGAACAATATTTTCCTCACTTTCATCTATATCGTTGACTAAAACGCTTTAACACTTAAACAATTTGAAAAAAGTGGTTCGCATATTTTTTAACTCGTTTTTTTTCTTATTTGAGAAACTCATCGTCGTATTATATAATGTTAGATCCTGCACGAGACCTTAAAAAATTTTATTATTGTATTTACTCATAAATTCAAGCCCTTTTAAAGGACAACAAAACTCTGTATACCATGTAGGAAAAAAAAACCTGTATTCTAATATCATGTACCTAAAGTTATGCAATTATAAACTCGATTATTAAATAAAAAGAGAAAAAAGCAAAAATTCTTATTCAATACAAATTTATAAATTATTTATATAAAATATACAAATATGTATATATTTTAATTTGAATACAAATATATATATATTTGCATAATTATGTCTTATTTTGAATTTTAAACTATTCAAAGTAAACGATATACAATAAAATAGAGCAAATAATATGTGTAAGAGGTTTATTTACAATAATTTGAGTTTATTGAGAATACAGTAAATATCCGTATATATACGAAAATAATTTTGTAATTTTTAGTATATAAAATATATATAATTGTTTATTTCAAAATAAGCAATTATATATATTTCAATAGGGGTGCTATATAGCAATAATTTTCTCATTTCGACTTTTCAACGGAAATGCATTTCTTTATCATAAGAAAATGCAAATAAATAATTTTTAAATAGTGGCAGTCAGTCTGTAAACTTTTGTAATAATTTGATTTCTGCGTTTTACTTTTTGTTTGGGTAACTATATCGAGTTTCAGGAATCGGAACTTTATTACGAACCGATTACCAACAACTGACCTTTTACTGGTGCGGCAACCAATTTTACAATTT